TTCTTCGAACGTCAATTCGGGGTTGATTCTATTTGCATGTTATTAGTAATAAAATAAACAATAATGACGGGTTTGAAATGGGTATTGTCATAGTGGAATGGGGGAATGTACATATGCCGGGGGAATATACATATGCCAGATGAATACTTTAGGAAGGACAATGGTGGTGTGATAAGGAGTAATATATGATAGCCATGTCAATCGCAGGCGTTTTGATGAGATTGTTGTTGGGAACTTTTTTTTTGTCCCCCCTCTCGCGATGTAAAAGAAAACCCTTTGTCTCGACTTGCTTTGTCCATCAGTAGTGGTGGTGGTGGGAGGAGGGGGGGACGGAGGGAAGGAAAAAATATATGGTTTGAAAAAAGTTGGCTATGAAGGTGATACGATTTGTCTATGAAAAACCAATCAATATACGACCATACGGAATTAAGCTCAAACTCTACAGATTGGACGCTCCAACACGCATTTAATGACTACACTGTAATCACATAGCTATAAATATTTCCAATAAAAAACTCTTTTTATTTTTATCTGTTTCGGTTAATAGTTATATCTTTTCGTCATTCACATTTCAAATTGTTCCTTATCAATCTCTGAATGGGGACATCTAATTGACCCTATGACCATTGTTCTGCGCTCGAGATAACAATGATGGTTGGCTTTTCGGACTGGTCATTTACTCTGCTTTTGGATGGTTTGTTATACACGTCCGCAACGAATTAACCGCTAACGCAGTAATGTCGCATATAGTTATCGTGTAACACACGGGAAAAAGTTATTTGAGCACAAAATGATAAATATATAATGGTTTTTAGGTAATGTTTGCAATTTGGTTAGGCAACGTCGGAACGGAACCTATGTTGATGTAGAACAGTTATTATTAATAGCATACACATGAGGTCAATCACTGGGGTTGGCTAGAAATAGGTAATAAATCATGCTGGGTTATTTAGTGGCCCCCATTTTAATAATAACAGCAACAATAATAGTAATAATACTACCCACACGAGTTTTATACCCATCACATGTCACATAAAATATCAATCATATAACGAATAAACAACCATAACCCTATCTAATCTTACCAATGGCGTGCACATGATTTCGGTTCACCATTTGTAATTAACTCCATATAGAAACAAGACTTTATTAACACATCTAACAAGAACGTTCGATCCGCTCGTTAATAATCTCGAGTTGTACCGACATCAGCTTTTTTTAACACCGTAAATGGCCAGCCCAATTTCCTTCTATACGGCTTATTGCGCACACGGCCCTCACTGGCCCAACTCACAATAGCACACTCGGAGATGATTCTTAGCCCTTTTCACCACCCCCCCCTCCTCTATTTATTCTCGTCATTGCCACATAATTAACATTTACTATTCAGTTATCTATTTTTGTCAGTTTTGTAAACTTTATTTGGCAAAATGGGCGGGAAACTTGAGATGTTAAAACTGACGAATTAGGGTAATGACATAATGTTAATGACAAAGCGATATGAGGCTAATTGTGTTAACAGTGATGTCAATCGTTGTATGCGTATTACACGAATGCGGAATTGACTTGACAATACTATACATGGGAATTCAAGAATGAGATTAAGAATGAAAGACACAATATTCGAGTTTAGGGGTGATACCAATATAATTGAGTATAATAATAGATCTCTCAATAGTATTAGTGGCTGTGCGTAGCAGTGGTAGTGGGCAGTGGACAATAGTAATGGTAGTGGCAGTGGGTAGTAGTAGTGGCAGTAGTGGTAGTGGCAGTGGTAGTGGCAGTGGCAGTGGCAGTAGTGGCAGTGGGTAGTGGGTAGTAGTAGTGGTGATTAATGTAATATAGCAGTGGTAGACTATCAGATCGATTAAAGATCTACTCGCATATTAATAATCAACTGTGGAATTTATTACATCACCCAAGAATTCCCTGACAAGAAAATGATTATCTTTTTCTGTATGCAATCGCCGATTTTCGGAATTAAAGTGATAACATTTACAACATGTATCACGTGATAATAAGGGGTTATTTATCATGATATCGAACAAATGGAGTAATAGCATGTACTGTAAACGCATAATATAACAAATGCTGCGATTATTAACTAAACTACTAATTATGTCATATTAATGTTATCTCTTCACAATGCACACAAGGCATATTTTTATTCAGCATCCATTCTGACTAAGCAATTATATACGCCAAACCCACACTCTCAAAAAAGGTGCATTCACGTTCAGCCCCCCCCACCCCCACTAAATAAATTCTGTACCATTGAGCTTATTTTTTTCCCTCTTCCAACATTCACAATGGGCACTGACATATGTATATCTAAAAATATACTTACCATTATCCAATCATTCATTACAAATTAAGCCAACTTGGCGTCATAACAGACGCCCACGCTTTTTTCACTGTGCTCATACTGAAATCATCATCATCATCACGGTCTGCTTCAGCTATCACAACAATGGACCATTATTTCCCGAATCAGTGTCATTAAGCCATCCCAAGAAAATCGCTCGGCCATCTCCAATCCGATTTCCATCTACGTCATTGTCATACAAATAATACATTTGAATAATGTGACAAAGCCATTCCATAATGACAACTTGTGATTGTAACGGATTTAGCACTGAATAACAAGATGTTGACAATAGAATATGTTTAAATATAGTTCATGAAGTACGTTGTATGTATATCATTGTATATCATTGTATATAATTGTATATCGGATATATTGAATAATCTTATCATCTATTACATTATATATATTACATTATATATATTACATATTTCATTATTAATATATTTGTATTAATCCGTTCTACTGTCAAAAATCCCTCCCCCTCTTTTCCTCCCCCCCTATCCTCGATTTCTAAATTCACACATATCTGCGGAGAATTTACTATGGATAATAGGTTAAACGCCCGATAGAAAGACCTCGTGGCCTGGGTCAGTGCGCTTTGTTTACCATGATTGTAAAGGCTTGCCTCCAGACTACACTTATTGCTCATTTTAGTTATCGGGGGAGAAAATGGACTGACCGATGAAATGTAAGAATGCATACATGTGCATATAATGGCAAGATATGAATAAGAGCGGGGGTTGATTGTATGCTGCGGAGCGATCAGGATACAATGTCCAAATAATCTTTGATGTAACAGTGTTCATTTTGTAATATGCCCCTCCCCCCCCTCCTCCCCGGAGTGATTGACAGTTTCTCCACAACCCGATTTACCATCAATAGGGATAATATCTTGCTTTTCTAAATGGACTATGAGCCAATAAAGAACTGTCAAGTCGTCATTGAATAAAGTACACGGCTAACTAAAAAGCGACTAAAAATCAAAAAGTTCTAACCTCTTGTGTTAATTAATAGCCATTGAAAAAAATACTACCCATCTGATCACTTTTCCCACCTCCTTTGTTTCAACCATTCCCTTCATAATATCCATTCTGCACTTTCATGCTTCACGTCAACATCCGAATCTTTATCTTATTCTATTACCCATAATAAAGAAATCCCATTAACACAATGAAATAGAACTTGCATGCATATATGCGGATATGCCTGATACTACACAATGCTATACGATGCACATATGTCTTGTTTGACTAATTTGATAAATTAACAAGGAAATTTAGGTAGACAGTGATTGTTCACTCTTTTCGATTAGGAAAACTTCTCATGCAATTCAGAATAAAGAAGAGAGAAGAGAAGCAGGTTAAGAATTGTTTGTCATAGGGTCAAAAAAAAAAACTTGGACACTCAAGGAATTGCCGACCCCTACAATAAGCAATCATAATCTCGTTCAAAAAAATTATGTGCAATCTATATTCGTTATTACCTAAGCAACAAATTTAACTGTAGACACACTCCCCGTTCCGTTCCTATTTGACCCTCCTCATCCACTCCCCACTCCCCATTCACATCCCACACCCCCCGTTCCGTTCCTATTTGACTCTCCTCATCCACTCCCCACTCCCCATTCACATCCCACACCCCCCGATTTCATTTCCCTCCCCCCATTCCTTGCTAGTTTTCATTGATCTACCCATCGCGTACAAGTTTTCCAATAATTGTATTTGTGTGAATTACTCTTTATCCTTTTGCTTACCAATAAGCGAAAACAATACTAGTCCATCTTTGCACTGGGTTGATCGGTAGGGAAATGAAAAAAAAAATGTTACCAATTTAACAAATTTGCAATTAAACAAATGACTCTTGAAGTGGATTGTTGTCTCAACAAGGAATGCAATTATTGGTGCCGGAAGGAGAAACCTTGTTCTCGTCGGTTAAATGAGATGCTTATCTTGCATAACAGATCTTTATGCGTAAAAATTTAATCACACGCATTACCCAGACCGTTCCTTGTAAACGCACAGGCGTCTTCTTTGTCATAAGGTATCTCACAATCTTTACATAGAATACAGGTAAAGCGTACGTTCAACAAGAGTATAATTGCCAAGTCACATCTTATCATGATTTGTAGCATACATTCGCGATTACATTGTAAAAGGCGATGAACGGAGACACAATTTTTATTGTGTAAGAACGGGGCCTTTGTTGTGGGTGGACGGGTACTGACAGATGGGGTTGTTATTATATTGTTGTTGTTGTTGTTGTTGTTGTTGTTGTTGTTGCTGTTGTTGTTGTTGTTGACGTTGTTGTGTTGTTGCAAAGTATACACAGCAAATGAGAGAGATATTGTTTCTAATCCGAATATCTGTCACTGATTGTATATTCGCTTTACCTCATTTGTAACTTTTTTTCGGTTTAAGATTTTTTGTCATCTGTTACTATGTATTGCGTGTAAAAGCATGAAAAAAACCTTACACATATCTTAGTGGTCATTTCCCAAAAAGTAGAACACGAAACAGCGATACGAGATAGGTGGCCAGTGAGAACAATACTAAGAGAGACGGAATAATCATTTATAGTTAATATTAATTAACGTAATTTGTATGTAATCAATATGCATATTGAAACATGCTTATTAGTTTGTATGATTGTTGGATGATCCGTGAGGTGACGCTACCGCTGAGAATAGTATGTAAATAGATGGATGTTAGCATGTTGTGAATTTGTGTCAATGTGTTGCGTACTTGCACCGGACTGGGTAGTGTCAGACTGTTTTTGTGTGGCAGTCGAATGTGTAGCTCGAGATACGTACTATGATCGTAAGAATAATACTAAGATGATTGTTAGCATTATTATTATATGCATCATTTATTTCCTACAGCGTCGTATGATCCATATTTGGATGGATTTGCATTGGCATTAATCCTTATATGGACAGTTGTAGTATACGGGATTACCCATGCATAAAACATTGTTCAAAAGAATTTAAGGTTTGGGGGCCTTGGATTATATTAATTATAGCGGGACAGTCGAGACACCAATTCCTTACGTTGTGTAATAAATAATTCATAATATAATATGTTTGATTATATAAACGGAAGAAGTTAACGTTAATGCATTTGTTGGTATGGACAAATGTTTACATTACACATTTAATAAATTAGAAGAGTCGTATCAATCATCAGACCAAAAACATTCTGACATTCCGCTTTGCCTTCGTCTTGTGATGATTTATCCTGTGTTTCAGACTGTAACAAAAGACAAACAAAAAACAAAATTGTGCCTAGGAGTCAGGAGTCTGTTAATCCAAAAACTTCAAAACAAAAGGCGTTAACCAATAAACCGATCGTTTCAAAGACGATTGTTCATAATGAACCAGTAGCTTAATTCTCATTATTTAGTCGATTCAGGTTTTTACTCTTTATACTTTAGATTTACTAAGAATAATCTGACTTCTTTATGTTCCTAACAATTACCTAACAATAGCATATAACTTTTTTGACCTGATTTCAATTGTTGAATTTATTGTATTAATTAATAGTTTACGGAAATTACTAAAAAAAAGGCAAAAGAGAAAGATAATCAACGTCTATTCCTTTCTGTTTGTCACAAACCGGTGACCTTTTTTTTTGTCAATTTTGTGTGTCTGGCTTTCATCGCGTTTGCTACATACTCTTGCAAATGCAACAGCGCCACCATAGCTTCATTTTTGTAAGATCGTTGGCTAACGTTGTCCTATTCCTCATAACGAATTTAGTTCGCCGACTTGGTTTCGTTACATGCCATCTAAACTATGCTATTGATCTTAGTTCATTCAAAATCCATTGTTTTTGCTACTCACTGTTGGTAGCTATCCGAGAAACTACAGATGACAAGCGATTATCGGTATAAGTTTCCTTCGGCTCATTAAGTAAAAATTCAAAGACTGCACGACTTCAGTCATTCAATCGAGCTCTTACTGAACAAGCACTCGTACTGTATACCCAAAGTAATAGCAATTGCTGGATTACGCAGACACAAATTACGCAGGCACTGTATATGCAAACGTTGACTACTCAGGCGATATGGAACTAGCTGAAGGTCAGTTGGTACATAACAAATAGACGTTTCTACTAATTGGCTTTGCTTTCCAATGTTCTTGCCAAAAGCTTTCATCAGAGAAGATATTTATGACAGTGTATAAACAAAATACTCAGCATCTCGTCAAATAAATTACTCGGATCGATGTTAGTTATAAACGTGGGCGATGGCGGATACTTTCGCATCGCTTATGATGGGCTTCTAGATTAATATTTTTGTATTTACCAGACTCGTGTTCCTACATGAGACAATAATCTGAGTTTTCCGATGAATAATGACAAACTCCTTCAGGAAGTCAACACTACCGATGCGAGTAATGAATAAGGATGCTTCGCGTCACGTTGCATATTAACTCTGTCCATATTGTCTCTATATCGCTTTCGACAGCGAAATTCAGCTACGCTGGTAACATCGTACACCATAATATTCAAAGAGTATCTCATGACGCTAAGGAACCGTTTAAAATGTTCAAGTATGTATTATAATGTGAGTGAAAGCAATCGATAAACATCTCAGCTTACCTTATCGTTTGATATTTTTTATTAAGACTATAATAGCAACAATCTTATAATTAACGTTATTCATACTAATTTCTAACGTCAGATACGTAGATAACTTTCTCCGATGCAAGCGTATAGTAACAACAGGTTGTTGGCCGAACAAATATTAGCATGAATGAAGTTTACGTATTGAAATTCACTAGGACGCTGAATGCGTATGGTTTAGGCTCATCAAGATTGCGACAAGTTTGTCGTGATTTTTACCAAAGAAGATTATTTAGGACCATTTAATGGGTATGAAAAATTATATACTAATACCGTAGTAGTAGATCAAAATATAATTCATGTTTTGGGGAAAAGTTTAAAATTTAATAATAATAATTTACTGTCTTGCAAACAGGAACATTAACGAAACAAACCGCTTTTCTTTACTTTTTGACTAAGGAAAGGAAAGATCAACTTTTCAAACTGAACTAACCAGTCTAAGTCTTGGAGGACTACAGTTAATGGCTTAGCAGCCATCAGAAACCCAGCCGTTTATGTCACAGTGTAATTACCATAACAATTCTTTTTGGTTATAGAAAAATTATAAGAAACATTATTAGTATTACTTAAACTTATTTTACTATTATCAAAGTACTAAACAATATATTTATATTGTAAATGACAACACTCTACTAATACTAGGTGATAATTTACGTGGTCACGGCTTTTGAAGCTGAAGATTTGCAGTGAAAGAATTGGGAAGTTTGGGTATTAGTATTGAATGCCTCATTGCATCTAATAAAAAATTAGAGTCCAGAATTAATTGGTAACTTATGCACAAGTTAATCAGCAGGTTTATTTCTGAATTAAGGAAAGAAAGCCCTTACAGTGCGGTAAAAGTTTATTAATTGAGACAATAATTTATTGGAGAAAAAATTTACTGGAAAATATGAAAACTTTTCCCAAAACCTTGAATTTTATATTAAGTAAAAGAATATCCAAATGGAAACAACGGCAAGAAGAAAAAATTAATGTATTTTTGCCAAATAGAATAAAACGTGCCAATGCCAGGTTATATGCCAAAAATTACTCAAACTGCTGACATAATTATAGCATTTGCCACTGCTGGAGGAAACGTCTCCCTGTAATAAACAAAAGAAAAAAGGATACTATTTGAATAAGTGTGAGATTTCTCATTAGTGTATTTAAGACGAGAGATGTAAAATGTGATAAAAATTAGTATGGGGTAAACAGACCGACTTACAGTGCGCGAAAAAAGTTTTCGGAATAACGTTTTTATTAACTGTGCAACGAAAACTGGTCAAAAAACCATTAAACTTTACAGATATGTTCTCCACAATGGTTTACTTATTACTACTTAATAGCTTATTTTATTATCATTCCTCTCAATTATTTCATTCAATCTTGATGGCATGCTATGAGCCAAATTAACATGTACTTTTTTCAATCCTTTTCCCATTCTTTCTGAATTGTTTCACGAAAAATCTCTACAGTGATCTTTTGCTTTTTACCAGAAGTTCATTGATTTGTACTTCAACCCTTGTCTTTAGAATTTGCCACAAATTTTCGATCGGATTAAGATCTAGATCTGGGCTATTTGATGGCCAATCCAAAAGTTTTGGACACCGCTGTGCAAGAAGTTCTTTCGTTGCTTTGGCTGTGTATTTAGGGTCATTATCCTGTTGAAAAACCCAATGTTTACCCATAATTTTATTGGCATTGTCAAACAAATTTTTAGTCAAAATTTCCCAATACAGAGCACCATTCATGATGTCTGTAAAAAGAAAAAATTCTATTGAACCTTTTACAGAAAATGCACCCCAAGCATAAATTTTGTATGGATGTTTTACCATAGCTTTGTGGGGAGGTTGTTTACCAGATTTATAATAAACCTTTTGGGTGTTTCTAAACATTTGTATGATGGTCAAATAACTTTATTCCAGTTTTGTTTTTTATATTTTGTAGCAAATTCTAAACGGCATTTCTTGTGTTTATCAGTAAGAAGAGGCACAGTCTTTGGGACCGTGCAATGGTATTGTAAATTGTGAAGTTCTCGTTAAGCACTGTACGACTTGTTACATTAAGATCGGGATGATGCTTATTTAATATATTTGCAAGCTTGGTAGAGGTAAAGTATTGGTTACTTGAGACTAGTTGACCAAGATGACGACATTGATTGGAAGAGAGTTTTCGGGGTCTACCAGAACGTGGTTTAGGGTCCAAAAAATACCCATTTTTAAGTTTTTTAATATAACTATATATCGTAGAAAGTGAAATAGAAGTTAGTTTATGTAATGTATTGGCATCCTAAGTACCATTTGCCCACAGAGAGGCTATGGTCTTGCGACGTTGGTCGAATAAAGGCTTTGTCATTGTCTTTTAGTAGCAAAGCGAAAAAGTGTAAACAAGTAAGACAAATTGTGCGAATTACAAAGTTATGCAGTTGCGTTTTTTTTTCAGTGCTACGTGCATAAGGTTAGAGCGTACAAAACGTGTTAGATGACTTTTTGGATTAGACGCGTATTTCGGGAAGAAATAACGTTTACGTGGCACGCGTTCTATTCCGAAAACTTTTTTCGCGTGGCTTTATTATTTTTACATTGTCATTTTCGTTGTACTGAATGTTTTTCTCCACCAACTTTTTGTAATTAAAATTTTTTTATTTATGCTCACTAGTATAAAATTTTTTGTTGCAAAGTAACAACACAATTTAATTTCGTATTTAAAATCAGGTTAACGAACTATTCTGTTCATATACCTTGATACGGGTCCTGAACTCGGATACAATCCACGTGTTAGGAAAAAATTTTTTAGTCTCATTTTTTTTATAAATATTTTATACTGTGCAGGTAAATTTTCTGGATCGCAGTCTTCGATCTATTAGAAAACAGTTTAAGCTCTCTCCGTAGACTACAACCCACGCCTTTGTGGAAGCATTACTGATAGGGGTAAATAGAATACCTGTAGCTTCCAAATCACAAGCGCAGAATGTTGGTCAATTAAACTAAACTTTGTACTTGAAGTGCAATTTACTGGGTGGAAAAAAATATTTTTTTTTGTTTTAACTAGAAAGGTTCTCAGTCATGTCATTATATCAACCTGTTCCCTATAATATTTAAGCGCACGCGCAAAAGTTCTTTGCCCGAAGTGAGCAATAAAGCTCGTAGTTAGCTCTGTTGACATTAAATCGACATGTACTCAATTAACCAAGAGTATATGTGAAAATAAATATTGCGCTACAGATCAATATGCACAATCAATAATTACTGATATAAGCAAGTAATCTTTGCTTTTATCAAGTTTTATTACGTTCTTACTTATTTTTCCTTTTTGCAATAAACAACATAATTATAACTCGCTGACAATATATCAATATCACTTTGTTTTGACAACTTTATCGGGCAAAGATTAACATCAGAATTATGAAACTAGAAGAGCAAGAAGCAATGGAAGGTATTTTTAGTAATAAGTTACCTCGATCCTCTACGAAAATCTTTTTTGGTTCAACGAAATCTTATCCGTCACGTGGTAATTATAACACATATTTTCTATGGTAGATAGTCTTTCCAACTACAAACATTAAAATGAAACAATGAACCAACACGGGCAGCGACAACAGCCCACGTTTCAAGACGAGGCAGTGTTCTGGTATAGGTCACTACCGCCAGTAACAAAGTTTTTATTCACTACTTTTGTGGTCGAAGTCTTCATTGGGACAATACTTTTGTCTCCCTGGTATTTGATATTCATACCAGAGAATGTGCTAAAGGTATTTACGCGGAAGAAACGAAGAGAATGGGAAAAGAGAAGAAGAAACAAATGGAACTTAACGCTGCTGGGTTGATCTGATAGCAAACCAAAGAACAGATAATGAACAACTTACACTTTTTCACCGTATTCAATTTAGATACGATATCCCGAAGTCTGGAGACTGTTTACAGCATTCTTCTTCCAAAAATTTGGATTGAATTTTGCTTTTCAGCTATACTTTCTGTATAGATATTCATTCGATCTCGAAACGTCGAAATTTGCAGGACGCCCCGCCGATTATGTGTTCTTCCTTCTGTTTGAGGCCGGATTGATACTTGTATCCTTTCCGTCATAGTGATCCGTTGAGCGATCTGTACTGTTACGTATTTAATGCCTGAGTTAATCAAGAGGGAAGAAGGTGTTGGTGTTAGGAGGACAAGTTTAATCACAAGTTTACGTCATTACGCTCGATTTGTCTATTTTGTTCTTGACCAACAATAATTGATCTTTCTTACTCGCAGATACTCGCCGGATTCATGATATCAGCCGGTTTTGATAGACTACTTTTACTTAACGCCTCGTTGATAATGGCAATTGTATACACGTGGTCACAATATAACAGAAACACGATGGTCGCATTGTTCTTTGGTCTGAGATTCAAGGTGCTCTCTTCACTCTTTTCCCCCTCTTGTCCGTCTACTTCGTTTACATAATGATCATCTACTACAGCTCTTATTTTTCTTTATAAACCTCTTTGCAGGCACCGTACTTCCCTGCCGTTCTTCTTTTATACGAATTTCTGGTTCTCCAGGGTCAAGTACCCTGGGATATGGTCCTTGGCATAGTAACCGGTTACATTTACCATTGGCTTAAGGAAGAGTATCCTGCAACTGGGGGTCGCCTATGGCTAACCACACCACGTATATTGTACAGATTCTTTCCGAGTGCAAGTTCGACATATAGTCGACCATACGGTACTGCGTATACACGAGCAACGAATCAGAGCAATCGACAAACGAATCAGAGCGATCGAGAACATAGTTGGAGAGGGAGAGGTTATCGGTTGGGGTAGTAGATTTGCATAAGGCTACGCGGGTGTGGGATTAATTGACGTTGTCGTAATCGATTGCAGGTTTCCTTTGTATAAAATGTTGGACGGTATACCAAGTTGTATATTATTTGAACGATATTTGGTAGGAGGGGGGGGGGAGCTTTGAAATACGCTGATCGCAACTATTAAATTGGTTCAAAGTCCATTTCACAGCATAGCAGTCCAAATAGTCTCTAATATTTTGAGTGCATACGATAATTGAAAAATAAATAATAAAATATCAGAGTATTGCATGGAATGAAAGGCATTGATGGTATTATCTGTTTATTTGTCAATGCTGTAAACCATTTCTCCCTATCAACTTCTTCCTCGTTCCCACTATGTTGTTACCGTGAATTGGCGAAAGTTTAAAACACCATCTCTGCGAAGCAATTTGATGCTAGAGTTCTCGTGTAGGACTTTTTTGGGGAATAAAGCTTTTGAATCCTCCACGGATTTTGCCGCTTTTTAATTGTTTCTCAATCAAGCATTCGATTTTTGTCCGTCCTTTGGATTTCATGCGTTTTCTATGATGATTGCTTTTTTCGGAAATGCTGTCTGGATTGTATGTCGCCAAAACAATGGCTTGGAAAAGTTACTCTTTACTACGCATACACATCTTTTTACTCGGATAATACCCCTTGGAAGTCATATGACTTTGACCTTTAAAGACAGACAAAGTGTATGCGTCTGCGCACATATCTTTCGCGTACAAATTGGTTGCGGTAACTTTTCCTACGATTGTGACACAACTGTATAATGCCCCAATCCATTATCAGATATGGTGTGATCCATCTTTAAGCTAATCCTCAAAAAACTCCAAAAACGAAAAAAAGTCCAAACACTTTTCTTACTTCGAGTTCGTTACATCATGGCTATTACTCCAATCATCGGTAAACTAAAGAAAACAGCTATTCTGGATATTTCTATCGGTCTTGGTCTTGGAATCGCTGGCGGTTATGCATTCTGGTATGGTTACCATGTACCGTCGGTCAAGAGACGAGAGGAGTTTAAGCTCAAGCTCAAACAGCAATAATTACGAGACAAGAGAAACTGGAATTTTGGAACTGAATGATAGAGATATGGGTAAGTAGTGTTTTGGGTGAAGGAGGATTGTTGTTCAAACCACGAAGTATATACGTGAGCGTGAGATGTTTGGAGAAAGGTTCTAATAATTCCTTCAATTAGGGTCACTCGTCAACTGTCGTCATTTAACGATTCCTCTCTTCCACCTGTCTTCTCTTGAAAGTATCGGTTGTATGGATCAACAAATTGTGGTTATGTAAACTCGTAATAAATCAGACGTTGCAATAATCCGGGGTAGCGACATGAATGCCAACCGTGAATAATGTATCGCAGGTTGTGTAAGGGTATTTCTACAACTTTTTTTAATTCTATCAGTCTTCATGGGACCTGAAGTATACGCAATAAGACACCGAATATAAAGATTTCGAATGGTAGATGTTTGTTCACTGATACTGATAATAATCGTTACCAATTTGCTTGAATACCATTCTTATCGACCTGCTTGTGTTCTAATCACTCTTTACCATCCATGATATATCTTGTCGGCTTTAAATTACTTCTTGATTCTTCCGCAGATTTGTTGGAGCATAACAATTCTGTATATTAATCATTCCACTGCATTGGTAGTGGATTCACAACGATGGGTCGAATAGAGTCGTTTGGTACGTTAAAAGTTCATACTTGTGAGTAATGCTGTATAAATATTAGGTAATGAGTATCAGAACAATGGTTTTACAAATAACTATTGCATTCATAGCGATGTATTAATTATACACTATTCTTGCCAACAGTTTTTCTCATATCAATAATTTGGTAATGTTATTGGGTTGGAGATATCCATACTGATATTCATACATTGTAGAAAACCAAAAGCTCCCGTCTACCTTATACACTTTTTTCTCTTTCCGTTCGTAGCGTATATCAAATTCTTACTGAGTGACAACAAATCTGTTACTATGAAATCCAGTGGCGTGCCTGAGGACTGGTTTAAGCATACTAAAAGTTGCTCAATTGAGTAAGCTAACCTCATTGGATTGGCGGTCTAACATAGAATCTTAAATGCCAAACCCGCTAGCCTCTTTAACAATGCTCGATTTGGATCATATTTGTTTTCCCCACAAGTTTGCTGTCTGTAAGACAGAGAAGGTACATAGTTATCTACGCGTTTGCAATATTAAGTATTCTCACATGACCGCAGTCGTTTGAAATCAAACGGAGAGGTTGGTGATGAAAGCAAACGAATCATAATAGCGCTGTACTGTGCCGATAAACGTTTGAAATGTCACAATTTAGTTGCTTAAAAACGGAATGCAATTTTTTCTCATGTACTCCGCGTATGTCTAATACTTTAGAAGAGAATTTTATGTACTGTGGTTTTCGGTACATGCTATTTTTATATGCCACATACCTGTAAGTTTACTACCGTGCATGTATTTTAATCAAAATAGTTATAATTAATGGCTTAACTGTTCTTTTGACAGCTATTACGACAACTATGGCAAATTCTGAGATTATAATATAGATAAAAGAATCCTTATTCGAAGTTTTAATTTTAGCACAACAAGCCTATTTTTTTCTCCGAGGGATGACAAAAACGATAATTTGGAAGTTACGCACGAATGGCTGTTTCGATGATTGGATCAACCAATTGGAAACTACGTAATTGTCACGGTCTAAGAGTTAATTTGAGTTTGGCAAACACCAATAACTGTTTCGAAAGTTTGATCAAACGGTTATTTTTGGGACATACAAACTTTTAACTTTAAAGTATTATTAATGTCAACAGCATCATTACCGTTCAGAGCCAATTTTGGTAACAGACAACATACTCTCGTAAAAAGAGTTCCGTTCCATATACTGAGTTTTAAATCGGGCTTTACCGGAGGCGTGATATATATACACACATAGACATGATACCATTTGCTATTCGATTCATTGTTCGCAAAAGCGAAGTATTTCCGCCAAATAGCTAATTTCAATTTTGTTTATATTCCCAAAGCCTATCTCAGACGTGTGCTAACTTAATACAAACGTAAACTTTTTGTAAAGCACCAAAACCATTGTCGTATAAATAGAGAGTGTCTGGCATCGCTGAAAACCAAACACTGTCCCCTTTTTAAAACAAATGGATTTATTGAGTTTCTTTTATTTTTCAATTGGAACATCCGATTTAATTTTCTTCCTTTTAACATTGCTTATAATATATATCGGTTACTTTTATTTTAGTTACCTTACACGAGAAAACCCACTCCCCGGTCCTCTTCCTTTACCTCTTGTTGGCAATATTACTGATCGAGGTTTCGACAATTTCATTGAATACACTGAACGCATGCGAGAAAAATATGGTGACATGTTCGAAATATATTTTGGGCCAAAAAGATTTATCATGTTAAGTAAATACGAACACATTGCTAGCATGTTCGGCTATTCATTGCACTCAAAATACATGAGACGTGTGCCGCATTTGACCGGATTAGAAGAATTAGATATAGCAGGGAAAGGCGTCGCATTAAATCATAACGTAAACAGCTGGAAATATAACCGACAATTTATTTCGCGAGCGCTACTTACACCAAGCTTTTCGGCGTATGCTGTTATTTGGTCACAACGGTTGGTCGAAGAGATGATGGAGTTTTGGAAAGATGCATCAAATGACGATGGCTGTTTCGAAACCGATCTCGTAGAATGGGCTCATAGATTTACAACCGATTCTATAACACATTTCACAACTGGAAAAAAAATACATGCTGTTGAAGCACTTCACGTCGAATTGTTGGCATCAAAAAACAAAATACCTAAAAAATGCTCTACCAATAATTTAACAAACGCTACCAGACTTTTTAAAAGCATTAGAACGTTGGTCATTGGGATTTATTTCTTTATAATTGTTCCCTCATGGATGCGAAACTATCTGCCGTTTCTCAGCAATACGAACAAGAACTATTTAAAGAATCGCGATTGGCTGTTTAACAAGTTTGATGAAATTATCAAACAACGAAGAAAAGAAATCGAACATACACCTCGAGACCAACCGCTTAGGCTTGATATGCTGACTTCGATGATTACCATAAACACGGATCGTAGTCTTCGCAAGTTTGATGAAGAACATTGCAAACCTTTGACTGATGAGGAAATTCGTGGAACTTTATGGGAAACATGGGTCGCCGGAATGGATACGGTACGAATGCAATGGCCAACTTATTTGAAAACTTAACAATAACCACAATCATGTTTTTTTTCTCTCTTTTCCTACTTTTGTAGACTGCCAATTTGTTCACCTTTATTGTCTATTACTTGGCACACTATCCTGATATTTTGAAACGATTACGCGAAGAATTGGATCAATTCTTTGAAAAGTTGGGCGATCGTCAGCTTGATTACAAAAGTTTGTCGAAATTAGTTTATACCGAAGCTATTCTCAAAGAGGTATCTAGAATTCTTACGCCAGCACCTTACACGGCGCGAAACAGCACTGCAGAAGATGTTCTGGAAGGTTGTGTATGGCCTGAAGAAACACAATATATCATAAATCTTCATGGCATAAATCACAGCAAAGAATTGTGGGATAAACCCGAAAAATTCAATCCCGATAGATGGCTTGATGATACAAAGAGTGAAAAGTTAATGCCGTATGTGGTATTTGGAGGAGGTCGCCGTGTTTGTCCTGGCAGAAAACTGACTATTATAGAACTTAAATGTTTGATTGCTATAATATACCACAAATTGGACATTGAATTGGTTGATGAAAAGGCTTCTTTGAAAACCAGGTTCATACTTCTTAGAAGCTTTTACGACTTACAAGTTCGAATTAAATCCAGGAAGATTGATTAAATTAATAGTAAATACTTTATTATGATTAGAATTTGGTTTGAATTATAAATATTGCAAATAAATGTTAAATATAATTATTCTTCTACGTTTCGAAGGCTTTTTTCGAAGAGAAAAAAAAGATGTTGAGAGAATGACAAAATCTAAACTATAAGAGATGGCGAGTTTATTTTAAGAAGACGATAAAAGTTTCGGCGTGTCCCAATTACCGTCTGGTCAAAACCACTCGTGGTGTCTTACGTATCACAAAACCCTTATTGTACTAAAAACTTCTGTATTAATCGTTCGCTTAAAGGCGGTCTTTACCCAAGAGTTATAAGATGGCGTGGTTGTTTCCAGACTTGTAGTGTTGTAATAGATACCGTGCCGTATCAATTGGGGATGGTACATATCAAATGCGATAATACAGTCGTATTTATTCAGGACAGCTCAATTCAAAAAAAAAACCCCCAGTACAGCACAGAATTTGAAAGTACAGTGCAGAGTTTCTGTATACACAGTGCCTTACACGGCTGGGACCAAGTCTTATAGCGGGACATTTAATTTGTCTTAATTTAGCTTAGCTCGATACAACGGATTTTGTGTACCATACAAAGTCCGCTATATTATACGAGGCCTTTATGCACGATTAAGTACAAGAACAAGGTTTTTTCCTCCATTTCTGCTACTCGTATCTAGCAACTGTACAATTTTAACATTATGTCGACCTAGGGCTCTATCGATTTAAATAATAAAGGAAAAGACGTTTCTCAGCAAAGTGATGTAAACAAACAAACTCGCGTTATCTTAGCAGCATTACAGAGCAGAAACTATGTGAACGTATGAGAGCTAACCCTGCCAATATATTGCAAGCGAGGATAAAAAATATCAAAACAGGCAGTCTCAGATATTTGAAACAAGAAAAATGTGGTTAACATTCTAGTCTTAAGTTAAATTTATGTCACACATGTTATAACCGTGAAAAATAAATTAAAGACCGTCGTTATAACGGATTTTTGCAAGTTTAATTAAGAATCCGGTATAAACTCACTGTTTGATATAACGGATGAAAGTACTGACATAGACTTTTGTGCTATAAGCGAAAAAAAAGGGCAGTCACATGATTAAGACTGCAGTATGATTGGCTGTTGACTATCCTCTTCATCCAGCTTATAATATTTCAGTGCTCGGGTTCGCAGCCAAGATTAAGGATATTCAAATGTCCGTAGTCGCAGAATTCTAAGTCCAATCCCTTAATATCCTTAATCTTTTGATACTCTTCTCAAGTTAGTTTAATAGTCATGGTTGTTCGCATTTCCTACTACTTTAAAAAAGTAGCAAAAAAATTTGTTTTTGATCTAAGTCCAAAGAACAAAAGTTCCTCACAAGAATACTGAAAACAATACAACCAAAAGCGTCTTGCTTATACGTGTGGCATTGTTGCTAAAATAAAGAAGAATACCTTTAAAAGCCAATAAACCGGTTAAAACTCTTTCTTTTTTCCAACAAAATAAGTTTTGAGTCGTTATTGAAAATCGTTTCAGGACTGTGTGAGGATCGGAAGCCGAACAATGAGGAACGAACGGTGTCACCAAGGATCGACCAAGAATCGACAACGAGAATGTAATAGTAAGACAAGTACCGAACGGAAGCAAATAGTTACGCAAGAAATTGAATTAAAGGACATTGTGGTGGGTGTTCCCCAATAAGTGAAAAAGAGTGGTCCCTAGTCAAAAAACCTTTTTGGGTTTGTTCTGAATGTGCTACTTTATATAAAGAAAATGAAGCGATTCTAGGAGTAGAAGCGAGCAATCGTAAATAGTAGTACAAGAAGCGAAACAATAGTAATGATAGATTAGCAATTAGAAATTATATCGATGCTAAAAATAGATCAATTAGCGAATGATAAAGTATTAAGCAGCTTAGAATTCGTTTAGCATCGGTGTGTTCGCCTCTCAGTCCAAGTTCAATATTAAATTCCTTTATATCGAAGAAGCTGCTCAACGGAAGCTGGTATATGATGATATGATTGTCAGCTGATGATAGAATCACATAAGGTGATCTTAAGTCACAACGATTTTTGTACCGTTTTGAAGATAATTGATTGTACTTTTCGTGAAAAATTAGTCCCGTTATTGTTCCGAAGCTGCAGTTCGATAAAGAGACAGTATCATGTTACACATATGACAGTCTACGAAATTTATTAGTGTAACATCGATACTGTCTCTTTATCGAACTGCAGCTTCGGAACAGTAACGGGACTAAACATATCACCATTTTTCACGAAAAGTACAATCAATTATCTTCAAAATGGTACAAAAATCGTTGTGACTTACATAACAGATACGTACAATAGAGCTCTTCGAAAAAATAGATTTTTCATATGTTTTACTAATTGATCGACAAAAATCATGGTGACAATGACTTTTGTCCAGTGAGTGTAAATTTAACTTAGCAATTAAATAGCGCACCATTATACGCTTATGAGTGCTATTGTAAATATTCCGACGTATAACATTTTATAATGATTTGGAACGAATAAATTTTTTGTCACAATTAGGGCATTTTCATCGATCATGTTATGTATTTACAAATCAAGAGTAAGCAGAGATTATAAAAATCAAGCCGCATACAACTGAAACCCCTTTGCTTCCACAAGAGATTTCAGTATCCCTTCATGAAGCAAGTTGTGAGAATTTCATTGGCAAAGAAACATTTGTGAACGGACGAAAGACGACATTGAATGTAAGATAGCAGCTTCATTCAACGACTTGTATGCTTCACAATATATTGTTATTATCTATTTTGTGCTTCACGAAATTTTGACACACCATACAGACTGTAGTGGTCTATCAACAGCCTCATCTAAAATAGCAGAAAAGATAATGGGAAGAGCATTGCTACAAGTTCCTTTTTGAACGGTGATGATATCGCGATTCTAAAGTTAAACCATTCCAAATGCAGGAATACATTTAAAAGCTCGTAATACAATTAAGAAGTTAGGGCGGGCCAGGAGAATTCGGCATAATTTTGAACATGGTATGTGTTTCAATGTTTGCAATAAATACAAACTTAATTAGACGTTTGTTTGCTTAATTAATAAGAAAGAAAGCATATATCATGGGACCTCAAATATGACGGACTGTACAAACCGTGGTCATTCCTCACAAAAACTAGTGCATCTATTACACTCGCTGAATACGCAATCCACTAGTCATTGTTTTGGAGGTACGTGGTATTTTCACTTTTAAATTCGTAATGAAATTTGGCTTTTTGCAACGGTAGGAACGTATTGGAAAAATTATAAGTGTTGGGACAGCCAAAGCGACCAGCGGTGCTACTGTGCAACGTGTGTATTTTATGCACACATCTTCAGACACTTCAGCGATAAATGTATTCGTCATCGCAGAAGCTAATTCTTCAAGGGAGGCTTCAGAAAACAGCAAAATCTCATGAGAAGAGGGATGCGAAATATGAAGTAATTTAAGCCAATTATGATGTGTAAGCGTTCCTATATTATAGATTTGATAACAAGGCCATAGTGTTTACGACCGTGTACAAAATTGGCAAAAGTGTACTAAACGAGAAGCAAACGTAACGAGCCAAAAAGATTTTCTGTCCCGAGTTGCAGATTGCAATAATTTCTTGAATATGGATCTGCTTTACAGATAATCGTGCCAAGTCGCACAAAACGTTTCTGTTTTGCTAATACTCAACTCTATAGTATTAGCTGATTAGACTTTAAAAACTTTGAAGTTGAATAATTTTCTTGATATAATGACTGTAGGTTAGTGATTTCAACACCATTCCAGTTTAATTCCTTGTCACCCATTCGAACGATCTAGACGTCATTCAACCCCAGCTCCAACCTCAAGGTCAAGACCAACACCAGCATATGCTACAGACACAGACAGCAGAACAAACTCAGGAGAAACCGGCAAGATTTCGAGGATTCATTGGTGGCATTACTTCAGGTGTTACTAAACTATGCGTTGGACATCCATTTGGTATGTCGTGAAGGAGAACTTGTTAATAGGAACAGAGAAAGAGGATTATTTTTATAGCTTGTTTCACCGTTTGAAGATACTATAAAAATACGGTTACAAACATCCGGTAACGATGGTCGCTTTCGCGGAGCGATTCACTGTTTGATGTCTACAATACGAAAGGTAACGTGTCGTTTTCGAGGTATCATTTATCAGAGATCAAGATCAACAATAGCTAATTAAAAGATTAATTATAAAGGAGGGCGTTTTTGCACTGTATAAAGGTTTTTTGCTCTTTAACACGTCGACCTAAGAGTCGCAGGCATGTAATCACCTCATATAAATCAAAATCGTACGTGTCTAATAGGTGCAACACCTCCATTAATTGGGTGGATGTTCATGGACAGCATAATGTAAGGCTTCAGATCATAGGTGCATATTATATAATGAGTAAACGACATTAATACATAATCCATCCATTTTATAAACAGGCTTGGAACTCTTCATAATTGTCGGTTATTTTTAAAGGGCGATGATCCAACCGCACAATTAACACTCTTTCAACACGCATTAGCTGGGATTGGTTAGTTTGGTTATCGCTGAATAACTGAATTAAAACATATAGTTCTCACATTTACCAGTGAGTTCTGCTTTTTATGTAGGTGCTGGTATCGCGGTATCTTGTATCGCCACGCCGGTAGAACACATAAAGGCAAATTATCAGTACTCTTGTCTCTTGTTTCTCCAATATAATTATCAGCCAGAATATACAGAATTCCATACAGGATGATAAATAATCAACATTGACTGATATTATTCGTAGGCAAGGTTGCAAGTTCAGTACGATGCAACGACAAAAACGTATACAGGCCCGATCGATTGCGCCCAGAAATTGGTAAGTTGAGCGAGGAGAAGGCAAGAGGAGTTAGAGGACTATTGGTGAGAGATATTAATGGAACTAAGCACATTACGGATTGATATTCCAGATTATTAACTATTAATTTTCATGATGGATGCGTAATCTTGGACGAAGATACGCAATAATGGTGTGTTTGGACTTTGGAAAGGGATGGGAGCAACCCTAATTCACAGGTGCATATATTTTTCGGAGATATTTGTAGACTTTGGATGCCCGAAAAAGTCCTCACTAACGTTTGAAAAACGTCTTCAGGTCATGGTTCAGCGTGCTTTGGAGTTCCTATGAAGTAAGCTCTCAGTTAAACTTTTGATGTCTTTTGTCTTTCGTAATCTAACTGCTTCGTCGTCTTGAAAAGCTTTACTCCTCATACTTGCGCAAAACGGGTTTAAGCGAGCCAGTAATCAATGGCCTTGCTGGCGGGATGGCAGCCAATACATTTTGGCTATGCGCGTATCCTTTTGGTAAGTCTGTGAAATGGTTGCGATTAGAATGACTGAACAAGTGTGTATTAATTGCACAATCGTATTAATAGACGTTGTGAAGAATCGGATCATGACACAACCCGATGTCAAGCCACTTCAATACCCCAGCTGGATTAAATGCTTCAAGCATCTTTACATTACAGGTGGGTGTTCAAGAACTAGTATTCTTTTGAGACTGAATGATTAACTAATCCATGTTTATTGTCTTGTACACACGATAGAGGGTGTCTATGGCTTTTATCGAGGATTCATGCCGTGTTTACTGAGATCATTTCCCACAAATGCGGCGGCTATTGCCGTTTGGGAGGCAACAATGAGGTCACTCAAAGCCATTGGTTATTGATGAAAAGATGACGCCCGATAGTATTGTAAACAGCAAGGTTGCCCATTAGAGGAATAAAAACGGAGACTAAATCATATGCAGATATTGGAGGTTTTAAAACTTGCACACTACAAAACAGAATTCCAACTAAACAATGTATCGTATTTTATAGTTTGCAACCGACTACCTCTAGATCATAAATTGTATCCTGCTCTATGTTCTGCTCTATGCCTGCACCGATTCGAACTATTCTCCCGATAATTATATGCTCCGCGACATTATCATAAACTGCTCTCCTGACACAAAAAGGTAGACAACTGATTTTGAGTAGAAACGCTAATAAAACTATCGTAACAAGTTTGATTGCATTCCTTCGTGTCGATTTCACTTTGTGGATTTAGAGAGCAACAGTATAACATACCTTTGGGAATTGATTTACTCTTTGGTCATTACAAACGAATATATGAAGGAATATACAGATTTAAACCCAATACCACATTTCCTACGACAATCTTGTCATTTTCAGTAAACGCGATTGCTGACAGTTTACTGATTTGAACTTTGTTCACTATAAATGACATAAGAAATTCATACGGTTCATTCTATAACCACTCACGCCGAACTACTAGTGTTCAACTTTCCGAACGGTACTTGAACTTGAACTTGAGACGATCATCGATTGGGAGGCTTCAAAGTAAAATCGTAAATGATTTAAATACGGATGGTTAGATACTAGTTATGCTAAAAGCCTGCATTTCTCGCCTTAATTGAACGGACGAGGCTTACGCAGATGTAGCCGGATCACCATTTGTATCGTATATCGGGGTTACTTCTATTGTAGGTCTGCCTACGCACCTAAGGAACGTGAATAATGATTAAGCGTTAGAGTTCAAACTTCATTGGCTTATGAAGTTTGATTCTTACCGTTTGAAGATTCTAGCAAATGGTACACAAACAATTTTTTTGCCAGTGAGATCGCATTGATACTGCATTATTTCAAAGTACTTGCATTTGGAACCTATAGCTGACATCTGACAAAGTGTATAGTGTGTGTTGATATATATTATTTTCTTCAAAGTGAAGAGGATTCTTGGTTGATATTGATGAATAGAATTGTGTAAAAGCCCGTAAATACAATTTCAACGAACAGTGCCAACTGAAATTATCGGAATCAACTTTATAATAAAGCGTATTTGGCGTTCGTGATACGTTACTATCATCTAACTTATGAATCAATGTACCTTAAGCATGCGGACTTGCCGGAATGAACTATCATTCCAATCTTGAAATTGGTCCCTTTTTCTGGAGCCAAGTCAGTTATAATAAAATCGCTCGATATAGTGACGATAATTATCAATCTCGCGATATATATTATAAAGACGTGCAATTTAATAAGAGCATAGAATCATCCATACAATACATTCAACTAAGGCGAAACGATAAGGTACTTGGATTCTTTCTAGGGGAAACAATTAAACATGTTCCATCTATTTTGTTGTAAACAGTTAGATACTCCGTTCATCAATAGAGTTTGTAAGTTAATCGGAGCGCTGAAAAAGCAGAATCATCTCTACGTCGCGAAATTAATTCTTTTAATCCAAGAAATGACGTTTCATGGGACCGAAATATAATCCTCGAATTTTACTTACCCGTCACCTAGTGATTTTATAACCGAATGACCATTACCGACTCATTTTGTATCTCTAACCAGCACCATCCTTTAAAGCTAAGAACAAGTCCCTAAAACTTGCATCGTTGCGTTGGGTCCGATCACTCAGCAAACCTTCAAGAATGGGTGGAGGAAGAAAATAGAATTAGTTCAAAACGTAAGAACAATGCAATATTTATCTTTTACCCTAACCGTCATCTAACGCTGCATTTATCGCATCCGGTAGGTTCATTTCACCGACAAAACTACCAGAAAAGGATAATGTTGGGAAATTTTGTCGGTGAAATAATTTATATGTGGACTGTTTTTATTTAAATCATGTCAGTAGCCTTAATATGGCGTAATTGGTTTGTATATTTATCGAACGTGTTAATAAGGCCGAGCAACTACAATTTGAACAAATATTATGGTTTAAGTTGGAATAAATCTAACGAAAGATACCTTATCGTGAATATTCTCCATACTAAATATTTATTTCCATTGGCGATGTTACTGATGTCTACAGTAGCTGTTTATGAATTTGATCTCATCATATAGGAGCCTTCGATAACTAGGAGTCACAATTTTGTCGTCTTAGGTATGCATCATAAATTGGCTTTCTGCCAAATTATTAATCCTTGCGTCTATCCCAAGCGCAAGTTGACGGTTCAACACATTATTCTGAACTTGAACTTATGCATGTCTTTTAGTTGTGGCTGTTAAATAAAAGAATGGAATCACCAGAACAATTTATCCTTCAAAATAGTCACCAGTGAAAATAGTACACCGCTTCTCACCACTACTAGCCAACACAATGTCATCGTAATATAAACATTAGAGTATCAGAGATAAGTGCATTTATTATGGAACCTGTCTCGTTAAAAATACAGTATACTGTAACATATGTGTACAATTCAGTTCAGTTTGCAACTGAAATCACAGGAAATCATCCAGTATAAATACAATAATATTGGTATAACATACTGTATATACAACTTTACATGGCAGTGATCAAAGCAGCAATTCCTACAATTACCATAAACCAAATCTGACTACCCCATCTCGTCACGGCAAGCCTCTCAGCACCGCCATACGCACTACCAGTCGGTGTGGGCCCAGACGTCGCTGTTTGATCATATCCAGAAGCATTCCCGGTAAGAGCACGACCTGCCTGACATGTTTCTCTAATCTGTTCCACAGATGGTGGCACAGAAGTGTTCAACAAGGTATTCGTTTGTCCAGTCTGCTGAAAACAGTAGAGACATAACGGATACACCTTGAGAAATGCATCGCCGCATGCACATTTGAAAGCATTGAAAAATCCAACAGGATCAAATATGGCGTTCCAAAAGTTCTGAAGTATCGCTGAAGAGCTAATGCATGAATCAAAAGTTGAATAGTCCTTTTGGCATGCCACGCAGGAGGGGATTGATGGGTCAAAATAGGGTGTAGGTTGAGACATTGTTCCCGGAAGAGAGATTAAAGTGATGATTAGGATAAAGAAAAACGAAGGACGGGAGAGAAAGAAGTGAGGAATCGATATATCATTGAATGAAAGGCGGACCGATCGGAAAAATGACATCTTGTTTGGAATCATACAGTTGAGAAAAAGGGGGGTTGTAGAAGCTACGAAAATTATGTGAGTAGGTACAGAGAGGATGACAAGATTGGATGAGAAGCCGAATAGAGCAGCTGTCGTTAAATGCGGCAGTTGCAGCAAGAATAACCAAACAACTGAATGAACGAGTGCGTTGTTTGAGAGCAACGTTACGGATAGCAAATAGACGGCTGTTAAGGATGGCACTGGGTACAATTGGTTTTGATATCGTTATCGTTGATGTGACTCCAAGCCTTCGTTAATATGATGACAAGATGTCTCAATGATCAGGAATCTTCCCGTAATTCGTAATTGTCTTAATAACAACTCCTCTAATGTCAATGATCATTAAATAGCTCTGGTAGCTTCACAAACCCAATCTCGTATCCTCTGGACTTTTCTAAGATCGTGAAGAAGATTAAGGGGGGGAATCATGAGAGAGTTAGTTAAAAAGGTGCGATACTACGCGTAACCGTTAATGCCTTATTTAGAAAGTCTCATTAAGGGGTGACGGTACTGTGTGCTATGACTGTTATGTGTTACCATACTCACTAATACTAAAGCGGATGTGGTTAGTGTCAATGTAAACTACGTTTCAGATACGTACAGTCAACTGCCTTTAATTCGACGGTCGAATTAACGTATAAGTCGAATTAACGGCAGACCGTACTTAAGGAAAACAATAATAAACAAAATCGGGTCTTGCCCAAGCGATCGAATTACGGGCGAAATCGAATTATCGGAGGTCGAATTATTGGCAGTTGACTGTAGGCGGTTGTCCGGCTTATCAAGGAATACCGATACCTTCACAATTCTACCATCATATTGCAAGAAGCAAGAAATATAAGAATCAAATGGTTTGCTGCATTATAACTGAGCATAGAATGCCAAAGTATTGTGTTGTAATCAATGTATTACCTCAGATGCAATTGACGAAGTCTTAACCTTGAGACAAGCCATAATAGTAAGCTAATTAAATTTATCAGTTCAATGTCATCTTTAAATAATAATAACAAAGAAATTGGACAGTCATTATAATTAAAAGTAATAGAATAGGACTGACTATGATAGCATTGAGGTGGCAGCTGAACTCTGAAACTTTCTGTTTTTTGTTACAGAACAACAGATATACTGTACATAGAATAAGAAAGATTGAAGAAAAAGTTTATAGTAACTCCATAATAATAATGTATTGTATCATGTAATTGTATGTGACAATAGTATTTGTATTGTTTTGAAACTCTTTGTTTAATTTTCGAAAAAAAGTTTGATAATACAAAGACATGACTATATTATAATTAATACAGTTGACCTTCCCTACTATAACTACTACAGTTGCATGATCAGGCTGGTCAAAATTAGTGACTGTATAATAATAATAATAATAAATAGTATAAATTCAAAAAACAGATTGGTATTTACAAATTACACTTCATGGGAGGAAACAGTGTATAACTTACATATTACAGACATACAGTAGCAGAGGAGAGGTTATATTAAGGTTGCAACAGGTCTTAGCTGAATATGATCTTGAAAATATTTATAATGCTAATGAGACAGGTTTATTCTATCGCATGAAAACTTAATCAGACATTGAGTACTGATACTGATAGCATATTAATATCTGGTCAAAAAAGGGTAAAATTTAAGCTAATTGTTAATATTAAGCTTATTCTGTGATTTGATTGCATATTAATATTAATATTAATATGCATGAATTCTCTCTCTTTTTTTTAGGAGAAATCCCATATTAATATATTCGTAAGCTTCACCTCTTGATACCAAAATTCTTGCTGTATTAAAAACATCAACTTGTCATAGCCTATCCATATCATATAAATCCAAAATCATGGAAAAGAACCGAAAATTTTTTTGTGAATAATAAATAATCCTATATTAATATTGAACATGTAAAAGTTTGTCTTAAGACAATTTCAACTACAAGTTAGTTGTCATGAGCCACAGCATAAATCAAGCAAAACCTCGCCAAAAATTTTTCAGCCACATTGTTTTCTCCTTTGTTGTACATAAGGAGCATAAAATTCCATTGTCAAAGGTCGTTACCGTAGTGTCATTATGTATCAATAATACGTTTTGTAGTTTAGAAAGTAAATAAAAATACTTACATGAAGTAAAGAACTAGGATCAAGAGATAAAAATATAAGTCATCACCCCACATTATCATCGAGGAAAAATTCGGAAACTTTTCCAATTGGCGAATCAAAATAATATCAGCCTTTTTACTTATACTCTCCGTGTTTGTTGGCTGCTGGTAACGACGCTATTCGTTGAAAGAGTCGCTTCTGTTTCAAAGAATACAGACGGTATTAAGCTAAAGATTAAGCAAATTAGCATCTTGAAGCGTTCTAATTTAAAAACTTATATTATAGTAGTAAACACGTATTCTAGCAATTCTTAGCCGCTTTCGACATTAATTGACGCTTTAATAAAGCGTAAGGTCGTGTTTTGAGCTAATATGAACTAATCGAAAATAATTGTATTAATCTCACTGTTTGACAATGATGTTTATCGCTGCATAGCAGACTTGATGTGATGAACGGCGTTGAATCAGATTGCCCGTAAGGAGACGTACTCGAATGCAGAAAACATCAGGAAATCAGTATATACACGTAGAACAATAGTAACAAATAAAGTTGACCATATGTCTAAGCATCCCTGTCGTGTATTGTTGTAGTATGCGTTAAATACCGACTAAATTTGTTCAAAAATATATTTTTTCAATAACTGAACAATTGGATAGACTTGTATTGAAGTCACGTTATTACATATTTTTGCACCGTGGCATTTGGCGATTAATCTTCGATTATCGACAATGATTTTCCCATCTACAACGCCGTCACCGCGGCCTATTCTAAAACGAACGATGAAGATCAATCACTACGAAGGACAAAAAAAACGAAGAAAGACGGCAAAAAAGGTCAAATTCGTTAGTTGGGTAGAAATCATCGAGTATGAAGATGAAGATGACGAAGATGATGATGATGAAAGTGATGAAGGTGAAGAAGAAGAAGAAGAAGAAGAAGAAGATGATGATGATGAAGATGATGAAGATGATGAAGAAGATGAAGATGAAGATGATGAAGATGAAGAAGAAGAAGAAGAAGAAGATGATGATGATGATGAAAGTGATGAAGGTGAAGACGAAGAAGAAGAAGATGAAGATGAAGATGTTGATGAAGATGATGATGATGATGATGATGAAGAAAAAGAAGATGATGATAATGATGAAGATAAAGATGATGATAATGTAAATGATGATGACATAGGTGGTAACTGGTGGGATGATGAGGATGCTGAGTTCGTGTTTATTGACACTGGTGAGGGCTGGAGCCAATAACAAACAAATTTGCAAGCATGGAGACTAAGTGCAAAATACAGGCAAAGAGATTATCAAAACTCAGTGAGAACAATATGTTGCTTAATACTAATGCCAGAGCTTCTTCATTATAATTATACTTACAATAAATAGCAGATTATTATCCTATTCCAGAACCAGTTGCTCCCTTATACACACAAACAACAACTTCTTGTCTTAGTTCAGAACTAGTAAGAAGATGTACTCTTCCTTATTATCAACAAGTCTTATAAGTACAGACAAGATACACCCTTGTTACCCAAATTATTATTATATATATAACCCCAAAGAAGCACACAGTCACTTACTAGTCATCCTTATATTGGATTGTCATGGGAGACTTTAAAAAAGAGTGTGAATTGTATTACAAAAGCTCATACTGCATTAAATGGGTTGACTATTACCATTGAAAGGATGATCTAAAAAGACAGGAAGTGCAACTTGCTTAATCATCAAACTGGATAATGGAAATAGATGTGAATATTGATTAATTAAGATACTTGGTATTTAGATGGATGTAATTGTTATTATGTGTCCTGCACAATAAGTTTTAAATAAAATAAAAATTCGAATAGGGGATGTGTCGATAATTCATCAATCTAAGAGTGCAGATTGATAGTTCTAGCTGGAGTTAATAAACCAATCAAACTGAATTACAAAGTATTGAATATTGCTCTGAACTAATAAGTAGTATTCATAGAATTCAGATTTCTTTGTCTCCCAATGTTAAAAATTTTTTAATCGCATCCATTCCCGGTATAAGCAAGTGCGTAATGCGCGCCTTATTTCACATTTGAAATATTAATATAGACGTTGTCAGCAGAAACTTGACAATACAATCGCGCCAGTTTGTGCAAGTTTAACGTAAAGTTTTGTTCGATATAGTATCTGCAACATTTACCAAACATATATGAAATAATGTCACAAACTACTCATGTAATGTTACATGTCATGAACACCTTAACAAAATATTGTTGTCCAACATGATAGTGCCTGCTTAATCAGAATGAGAACAAGAAACAGAGATTAGTCGAGTTATCAACGTTGACCTTGCTGCTTGGTTAGCGCGCAACTCAATAGTGACGTCTATATAACGTATAAATACCTTGTATATGCTGTTTGAGTTTTGGATCTGTCTCAGTCCAGATCCCCAGCTGAGGTACACACAGCTTATACACGGACCATGCGTTTCGCATAATTTTATGCACAGCTTATGTATAGTTTCCTGCAGATTGACCCAAATCGTGATAAATTCGTATACTAATGCGAACAGTAAGTCTCGATGTTAGTTTTTAAATGCATGGATGAGATGCAAACTATGCATTTACCATCTCTTACCATTATTCTTCATAGCTTTCTCGTATCTTTGTAAGTTGTATAAATAAAGTACGCATCAACATAATTCCATACTTGTAATTTTGTTCTTACTTTCTTGCATGTAAAATGATGTCAAGGTTACTCGTGCCAGAATAAGTCTACGAGTATATTCCCGAATTACTTGAACATAACGTTGATTGACTCGCCTAATTGTTTGGATTTCTCGCAGACAGGTCATTGATTTACCGATATTAATATTTAGAAATGATACTGTAACCGTTCAGATGTCCGCTAACACCGTCGTATTACTTTCATAGTCTGATACTTGCAAGTCACCTATAAAATTTAAACGCAACAGGTTAGCAGTTATATCGAGGAGTTTAAAAGCATCGCTGCTGATTTACATGTCTATCTACAATAACATGTGTTCGTAATTACGGAAGAGCTACTCAAAGGTTAATTATGTACAATTAAATTGTTGCGTAGGCAAGAATCGTATGCATTTTACCCACGATGCGATATGAAGAATGCTTTGTTTATTTTGCCAAGAACAGAAGACCAATTTTTTTCTCTCTGATCATTGTTTATGAATCTTAATTTAACCATACGTGGAAGACGCCTCCCTGCAGCATGAAATTTTATCTACAAATCATACTCAATTTTTTTGTTTATACTTGTTTGTCGGGGCTTCTATCCGGCATTGTTTTGCCCTCTCCCATTATGCAGTAGTTCAGTGGCTATTGATGCAAGCTTTCTCGATATAGTATTTACTAATGTCGATTAGTGGATCATACGATATATTCTGCACTGTTTTAGTGTCAGTATTAGTAAATAATTCGGTTTTGGGTATCATTCAGGATACGGGAACCAATAGGGAAGAATGAGGTGTAAATGTGCCTATTCCTGTTTCTTTTCTTTTTTTTTTTTCAATGGATGATAATGTAACGTTCGTATATCTTTGTTATAGTATTTGGTTACCCAATATATTTTGACCTGTTCCAATTCCCTGTGCAGCATCTCCATATCAATCTCATCACATAAGCGGGACACCGACTGATAATTACATCGCACATTTACAATATGCACGAAACATTCTCTACTTGTTTAGCTAAGAACTGTGTTCTTATTAACCCATTCAAGGTTTTATCCTTTTTGTTTACGCTTGTTTGGTACCTGAACAGCTTATCAACATGAACTAATAGAGTAATATGCCGTAACACTGTCGAAGTTTTGCCTTAAACTGTCTGCACAAAAAGAAAGAACAGGAAGAAAAGCCCTGGGCAAACTTTTATCCAGCGATCTTAATTAATGATTTGAATAGTAGACCGAGTATGATATCATATTCTAATAACGTAAACCAATTTTGCTGGTTTAAAGTTTATGCGCAAAAAATCGTATTTGAAATAAAGGAATATTCTTATAGTACATAGAATCTAGCAGTACATTCATCATTTTAGGTAAATGTTTGTACGCTTTGCATCGTTAAACGCATACACTTGGCTTCTTTGCGTTCTGTTTACAGTTGAATGTTCACAAATGGTCGGCATGTTACAACTGTGCCAAGACAGCAAACATTCAAGTGAGCATACCTTTACGTATTCTATTTAGCAAGCACAATCTAGTACTACGGGAAACAGAATGTACCTAGTAATTATTTACTTATTTGTAGAAGACGTATATTCAATGTTGCTGAACAGATTAACCGTCAACATGTCCAAAACATAAGTAAAACATCAAATCATTCCATTTCCTATGCTTTCTATTGCAAACCGTCACATAATCATTGCGTTAACACGCGACTCAATAGAAAATTAGCCAACTTGGTTTAGGCAGTTTTGAGCCAGCCATTCAGCAAAATTAGTCTCCACCATTTTCTAAAAGAATGTATTCCGTTACTGTACGTATACGTCACATGACATTGGCTCTCAGACCGAGCGATTCACTGTAGACGTAATTTGTTAAAATAATTTGACATAAATTCGGTTTCAAATTGGCCATTTTGTATGTCTAAAAATTCTATGCTATATCAACGTATCATATTCGGGTTTTAATCGCATTTGGCGTTATGCCCTGTCTGATATTGTTGAAATAACAATAGTCTTTAAGTTATCTCGCTGTTTGCCCGTTGAATCAACAGATATTTATTGACGTTCCCTAATTCACCAATTACCGTATATTCGACACCGAATAAATTTGTATTAATCTGTGAATAAGTTTCCATGATCAACTGGTAGTATCGAACACCAATCCAAATATACAGATATTAAAATCAAGTCATTCTTATTAGTACAATCTTATTGTACAGGTTGTACGACAATTAGCCAGTATACCCAGTGTTGTAGAACCAAGTCACGCACTGTTTTTTTGTGCTTTTATTTGTAAATTATCTTACGGAAGAAAACTGTCTAAAACAATGGCGTAAGTTTACCACAGTATAACGTTTCGCATTGAACAGGTCTCAATAGTCGTTTGTTTTTCAGAGCTAGAATTTTGATTATAGCTCAAATTTACAACTTTTCAAGATGTGGGTTACATATTACAGAGTTTTATGCATTTATTGCCCATTTAGACATTATCATAGCAAAAATACGAACCTCACTCACCGCCGAAACTTTTTGACCATCCGAAATGTAGATGAATAAATGACGATGTTATATTTTTGATTAATTCAGATTATTGCGCATTGTTAAACTAGACATATGCTGTTCTCTCGTAGAAGTTACGCGGTGTCGGCAGTATAGAGCCCAATTCTCCTTCTTGCGCATATGAGACGGACAAAGCGCATATTTGTATTTAATTATTCTAACCCCATTTCTTATCAGGAAATATGATGAAAATGCGCGTAGGTAACGCACAAGAACTGGACATTCAATTATCGTCTGCTCGCTGTATCAAATCAACCCAGGCTCAAACTGATTTCTGTGGGCCCAGACAAAAGTAGATGTATAGCTTTTCTAACATTAAGCTTTGCCACGACAAGTAGTAATTTCCGCCATCCCAATCTTAAAACTCGGTTATTTTTAATATCCACCGAAAAAGAGTTTATTTTACAAGCAATCGAGGAACGCTTAACATCGAGTAAACAAACTTATTAAAATTATTTGAAGCCAGCGGATTATCATTAATTCCCTTGACTTCAAACGACATGTTTCGAAAAATCGTACGCGAACGGATCCCTCCTCCGTTTTAAATAAATTTTTTGTTGTTTTTTTTTTCCATAGAGTAGGGGTTATGACATGTGGGGGGAACAGCTTATGGTTGCATCGTTTCCAATAGGATTGAAACGGACGGGCGTCGAGTCCATTGCCAGTAACATATCGTATAACAATGCGATTCTTATTCATAACTATTGAGGACAAAAGTTACGGCACGAATAAAAGGGAGTTAACAATTGTATACGTTAATATATGACAAATTGGAATACCACTAATATGTGTCTACTGTGTTTCTATTAACAATACGAGACATCTTGTCTATGACTAATTACCTTATTGAACCGTGGAGGCAACTTCCTCGGACCATTATAGTAGCACTCCCCATTCTATGCCGGCTAGTATAGGGTAAATCTACGAAAGGAGAGCGGCAACGATGAACGTCGTAATAAGGCCTGGCGATATAGTAGATCTGCCGCGCTGCAAGCAATAGAAGTGGGGGCGGGTGCTTTTATATCCGAGAAATGTATGCGTATTGCATTTGGAACAGTCCAATGTGCAGTATAATACTCGGGCAGAACACATGTTACATCACCATCGAATACAGGAATGACAGGAAAAGTTGCCCCAACTCCACTTATTAGGCGACTGGACTATTTATGTAAGTGCCACAGAAACAAAGGAAAAAAAAGGTTATCCCAATAAAGATAAAGAAATCGTAAAATAAAAATAAGCGAGCGTATTGTTATTCGCTATTTTATATGCGGGCATGTTGTGTAAAGATGGTAATGTGTGTATTTATCTGCTTTTAAATGTATATTTAAGTATGATATTCGAATATGAGTGGATAGTAAACTAATAACCAACAAATATTTATATTAAAGTTGCGGAACAATACGGCAAATAGACATGCTACAGTGTATTGGTTTAATCGGCCCCGAGTATTAATTGTACTTTATTACGTTACCTGAGTTCTTTTCGCAACGAAAAAAAAAAGCAAGCTTTATGCTGTGAATGTATCATAATTAACGTAGCCAATAAGGAATCCGAATCATCTTAATGTATCATATGCATTTATGTGATAACATTATCACGTTTCAAAAGAGAAAAAAAGAAAAAAAAAGAACGCAAAAGTCACTTGCTTGTCATACAAAATATTACAATGACAACATGTTGAGTAACGTCACCTCTTAAGGGGTGTCATAAAAATGAGTAAAAGTGAGAAGCGTGTCATTGACAAACAATGCAATCGTCTGTGGCAAAATGGACATTATGCATGTGTTATGGTCGGCTACATTTTGCCTATAAAATTTTTTTAAAGAAAAGAAAAGTTTTTCATAGCTTCAATAACGATGTTACAAGTGTAGAGAACGATTGGCGACGATAATGTACGGTAATACTATAATATCAATTATAGAGACGCTACGACTTTTTATTTTTCTTCACATGGTCTATGACATCATTGGTTAGATTTTTTTGTTCTCTCCACTTTGATAATTCGAGGAACAAGAATATTAGTAGTTATTCTCGTTCTTTGGTGCTTTGGTAGAAGTGCATACCGTTGTAGACCTTACTTAAAAAATGCGTGATCTGGTACATGTTACCCATCGAAGCTTAGTGTAGTAGTACGTTTAGTGTGTACGACATTTCGCATCACAGGAGACTCACTCGAATTGAGCAAATTGATTCGACATACTAAATGAGAAAATTAAAATGATATTCCGCCATTTCCGATGTAGCCATGTATATCTAGTTGTACCACACTATCGTTAATATTTTCTGCGATATACCCATTCACAAACGAGATAAGCCACATTTCTCAAGCACGATGACAGCATTGACATCATCGTGGCGTGAAATTCGGCAAGATCTGCGGCAAACTTTTTCCCTTTTTTTTTTTTTTGCTGCGAAGAACCATTCATTCTGCCATTCGGTTAGGCAAAGTGATACAATTAGGGATGAATGTATTTAAGGTGCGTATCGCGTGTGCGTGGCATTATCATAGACTGATAGTAAATATTATAATGCATTTTGTGTTACAGCTCAAATATGTAAGTCTTTATTCATTATGTAAATAATAACTTGTCGACATTATGCATTATTAAAGAAAAGAGAGGAAGACAGAAGATGGGAGAGGAGACGGGGGAATGGGGGAATGGGGGAATGGGGGAAACGAAATATACAGTCGTATAGACGAAAATAAAAGACTTAAAAGCTCCAATATATACATGTTTCATGCTTACTAATAATATCTTTTGTATTCTCCCCTTTAGTCGGTGATTTTCCTGGGTTGTGCGTATTAGCTAATTTAATTGAGAACTTGGAACAATCTTAAAATAATTATTCCTACCAAAACTTTTATCCTTCATATATAATCCGGAACGGCAAACACTAGCTTGCGTAACTCTTGTGACCTGTGCACAACCACCCGTGTAACTCTAAATGATTTGAACTTATTTATACAATGAAACAATGTGTGGGATATAAATGCTATATATAGCATGGGACTTGAGAATTTATATTGAACAGGTTGGGATATAATTGAGGGAAAATGTAGTTACACGAAGACTCTATTACGTCATTGCAAGACGATTTTATACATGCCCACATTCAAATATATCACGAGTTTCTCTCTCCCTCCCTCCCCTCTCTTGTTTTTTTTTATAAAAAAATGGATATTAAGTGGAGATGACGTCTTTGCGACGATGCTCAAGCAAGATAAATTCGACAAAAATAAGAAACTTCCATTTTTTGTACACGTTTATGTGGGCCAGTAAGAATTGAAAGAGATATTATAGGTCTTAATTATGTCACACTTCAACCCCCCCAAAAGACTGTGGAAGCTACTATTCTTATTACAAAGAACGCTTACATTGAACAAGGGAAGACTACCAGTGCTGCCGCATTTATTTGAATGACAACAAAGAAATCTCTGCTTGCTTCCAGCGCTGACTGCACGGAAGCTGTCCGCACAATCGTCAGTGGCCATAATAATTCCACCTAATTAGTAGAAAACCAGTAGAAGGTAATGCAATGTAGTATAACGCCTGTAACCGAATGATTTTGTCTGGCAAATGTGAACAGAAAATGTGTCGGGAGGAGTTTCTGAAATATATTACGACAAAGGGAGTACAAATCGTTTCTTTATTCTGCAGTTCATTAACAAGAAGCAGTGCGCTGTCTAGGAGGTAACAGAGCTGCGCGCATATTCTATTTTATAGCTAAAAATTTCAACATAAAAACTTACCAAAGCTTACTTCCGGTATACTAATTTATTTTGAACTAAAACGCGAATAGATGCTTTCTCATTTGCAGCAATCCACACGCGTAACGTCTTTGTACTGTGAACAAATAGTAATGATAGCGCAATATGTATGACAGACTAAAGTATACAAAAAGAAATGCACGCGCGAATTGACTGGGTGATGTGAGAAGCATCGGAAGATGCGTGTACTGGTCCAGGAAAAGTAAAAAACATTGAAAGATATGTGGTGCCCAGTGTATATTTCGTAACTTAGGAAGCGTTGGAAGATGCGTATATTGAAGCAAGACAATCATCGGATGGTATGTGTGATCAATGTATACTGGGTGATGGGAGGGGATAAGTGGTTAGTGCTTATTATTATGTATAACGGCAAATAATTGGAGATAGCACACATTTAATTTATCAATAGTTTTTCGTGGACAACGAACATATTAATTTAGTTTTAGCACACTTGTATGGTTGTCTTTTTGTTTATGTTTTCCATCAATTTCCAAATTTATTAATTGTATGGATATATCAGGTGTGAGAACAATTTCTTTGGTCAGCATTATTGCGCTTCTTTTGCTAGGTAAACGCTTGGTGGATCAGTTATGCTAAAATCAGCCTTCAATGCTGATTTTGAGTTTCATAGAATGTTATTACACGTATGTATTATCGGAATTTAGTATGATAAATTCATGGGGATTACAAATTATTAGACAGACTTTATTAATGTATACCGCAAACGGCTAACTCCAAAATAATCTCTCAACTTTCCACAGTCGAATGAACGTTGATCGGAAAGTATTGATATTCGGTAGCTGCTGCTGCGATTGTAACCGCGGGACATTCCGGCGGATGACAATCAGTGGCCAGCCATCTGCCTTTCGTGCTAAAAGTAACACAATGCTATGTGGCTTAAAAGTCTAAGTTAATCTTCCTCAGACAACGAGTCTTATTATGAGAGCATAAAAGCACGCATTTCTACTCGATAATCTTCTGTGCGTATATAATAGCTGTACCTCCAAACCTCATGTATACTATCTATCCGTACACAAGTTTTATACAATTTTCTGTAATAAGTAATTACGGCGGCCTTTTAAGGTTTGTCTTTGCGACACCAATAAGATAACAAACAGAATGAATGCTTTGAGTTGTTGGGATAAACCTGGCAATAGCGAGATACGGCTTGTAGTCATACCGAATTGTCCCTATCAAGTGAACGTATGGTGCGACCAATTCAACGCTCAAGTGTTAAGTTCGAGTTAGCTAATACAAGAGTTTACATATGCCGTACTATCATTAGCTCATCTAATAATCTGGCAACTGTTTATACAGTTGAGGACTATCACTACCATCTTGAATGTCCCAACTTTGTATGCGTTCGTGTTCCACTTATTCCGGCAAAACATACACAGGTTCAAAATGAGGATGCAACTAGGGACAGCTGTGCACCTACAGGTTGCTATCAAATTTCAAATAATTAGTAAAAAAAGTTGTGTTACTTTTTTAAATGTTGTTCTTGCAACATCTACAAGCAGAAGAATGCATGAGTGACTAATACTAATAAGTGTAAGTGATGTGTTACCCGAGGAGCAAAAACAAGATCTTAACACAAAACTTGTTCATCAGTCTAGACTGTTTTTATAATATTACGAAATCCACCTGTATATTGCTAGACTTATCACGTAGTCACAAGTCTTAATTGTCACAATTTCTGGTGTTCCGACACGGAGTAATTATAGCGTAAAACTTTTTATTATGCTAAAAAATTCTCTGGGACGCAAGGGGTAATCAATCTCAACGTCGTGTCGCATTCGTTTGCATATAGCTGTCGTAAGAAAATAAATCTTCGTGGCAGAGATCTTTAGATAAAAACAAATGCAAAACAAACAGGACCAGTAAAATTCTGGCAATGGCGAATAAACAATCTCGGGTCACTTAATTTTGTATTCATAATGATTTCTATTTTCATTATATAACCAATCATTCTATATCTTATTATCTCTCCCAAAACAATCAGATGTGATTACAAATGGTTTGCTACACACTGAACAAAGATTTTTCTTGTATACCAGAAAAATCCTGTTTGTTTTTGTACACACTGGTCTTGAATTAGGTTATGTAAAGGAGAAGGTGCATTCGGGTTTCAGACTTATATTTGATTCAACGCAATGTCGAAACACAGCCCCAGTTCTATAAACACCGTTATTATATCGTATGTTGTTTTGTATAAAGTTATATGTCTATTATACAAAAAGTACTCATTTTGGTCATAAGCATTACTTAAGTGATGGGTTCGTTCGCTACAATTCCCGCTTCTTAAATTTTATTATATACAATTTATACGCATATGTAAATAGAGGAGCCGGCGTAGCTTAGTGGTAGAGCGTCAGTCTTGTAAACTGAAGGTCGGTGGTTCAATCCCGCCCGTCGGCTTGTTGTTCACTTCGCTCACATGTGTAGAGCTTGGGACCGTAGCAAGTTTTTGACACGCCCCAGTATTCATTAGCTATTGGCTATTTCTACGACGGGTTCTGAGATTAGTGGCCGATCGACAGAATTTGCCTGACATTGCGAATCGATCAGACCTGTCGTTGCGCGAAAAATGACTTTGCTACGTTCTGGTTTACTCGGTCGTTCGTACACGCGACCCTTGCGGCTTATGATTGCTCGACGAGGTAATCCGGCTTAGTAATTAAAGATCGAGTGTGCTTAGCAAGCCTCGGTGAAATTGTGTATGTTGCTAGTTTAGTGATACATTTAGCTCGCTATATATTTTGAAATAAACAGCAAAATCAACACAAACTTTCGTGTCAACCGGCTGGCTTGAAGAGAAGCTAAATGAAGTTGTTCCCGTCGACGGGTCGTGGCATATGCCTTGGGATAATAGGGATGCATACATGGAGTACTTGCAGAAGCGAATAGAGGTGGGGGGCTATACGACGTACAATCGAAAATAAATTTGCGTTGATGTCCATGATTTGCTTTCAACTCGATTTATAATTAATAATGTTTAGGGAGCACGATTTTTTGGTATAGATGAGATAAAAGACAAAAACTCGAATCTGCCGCACATGCTCCCTGAACCTGAAACATTCGCGGCGGCTGTCGGTTCGTGGACCATCTCTGATGTATGAATTCATGAAAAAAGAGAAAGACTCAATTTTTTGTTTTTATCGGATGTACAAAGGGGATTTGGGCATAACAGAAACGGATCATGTCGTAGTGTATGACACTGCAGGGCTCTTTTCAGCACCAAGAGTCTTTTGGACATTTAAGGTAGTTTGGCCGATGTATTCATTTGCGTATATTACGATTTTGAATTTGAGCTAATGTTGATAGCATGAATGTGAAAGGTCTTTGGGCACAAGAAAGTTTCCATTCTTGAAGGTGGTTTACCGAAATGGGAAGCAGAGAAGCGTCCGCTTGAAGCGGGATCATTGCACATTACGGTTGGTTAAGACTTTTATGCACTCATTCAAAAGCGTGTTCTCGCGTACTCAGCAATACTTCCGATAATACAGCCGAAATCGTACAAAGTGCCAACCGTTAACAAGTCGCTAGTACGTAATTACCAAGAAATCATTGACAATATTGAGCATGGGCCTAATGCAGAAACCTTCGCGCAAGTCGTTGATGCACGGCCCGAAGGACGGTAAGCAGAGTGAGAGCATGCGTTGATATTACATTCAGATACATGTAAGATTATCATTCTTCTTATGATTCTGGTCTTTTAAGCTATAATGGGACAGAACCTGAAGCACGCCCAGGTCTACCAAGTGGACACATGCCTTTTTCAGCTAACATCCCCTTTCCCTCAGTCATTGATAAATCTACTGGCGCCCTTCTGGATTCCGACGCTCTCAAAAAACTTTGCGAATCTAAGAACATCGATCTTAACAAACCCATCATAGTGAGTTGTGGTAGTGGCGTTACAGCCACAATAGTAATGCTTGCGTTGGAAAAGGCAGGTGCAAATCAACTTGCTATCTATGATGGAAGTTGGACTGAGTACGCGGCTAATGAAAAATCACCCATTGTTGGGAAGAAGTGAGGAGTAATAGCGGTTGAAAATATGAAAAGGAGATACACATGTCTAAGACTATTCTGAATTTAGTATGTTGTAGCTTTTATCAACATATGAATAAATTCGTTTGAGCTCCGTCTAGGAGACTGGGAGAATACATGGAATAATATCAAAATAAAGTATCTACATTCCGGTCATTTATATAAATATTATGAATCTCTAACATTTGTTCTAGCACTTGTTTGGAATTACTCCGCTATATAAAATGTGCTTGCCTACAAATCCATAATCAAATGGTCTGCTCCACTATATAAATTGTACTCGTCTACAAATCCACAATCAAATGGTCGGCACACCCACCTTCTCTTGAATCAAATCAGTGGCTTCAAATTCCCATTTCTTCCTGGGGAGGATCCGGAGCAGCCGTAGGTACCAAAGACGTCAGGAAAGTATAGACCGCATGTTCAAGATCTCTCATCGTGAACCGTCTGTTATTAATCGCTGCTGGAGACGCATTTGCGGTGTTTGATGCTCCAGGAACTACCGCACTGTTGTCGGCATTCGTAGTTGTAGTTGCACGAGCTTGAACTGAGGATGAAGAGGAGGAAGTTTCTGGCTGACCTGTATGCGTTTGAGAGTCTGATGAACCGGTAGGAAAGTTATTTGGATTCGGTTGCGCAAAAGGTGCTTGGTAAAATGCCGGATCGTTTGGTATTATGTTAGGAACTTGTGGTGGATGGGCTGCCGCTAATAATGAGACAATGATAAAGTTAGACCTTGTTTCTATCTTTCATACGAATGGTAAACTTCATTAATATACTTACGGAATGCCTCATTTGGTACAACTACCCTTCGCCTTCGTACAATACGCAATCGGCCAGTTTGATACCTGTACATCATGATTGATGTCAAAAACACAGTCAGTATCACAAAGGTATAAAAAAAATCGTGCTTTAAATGATAACCTACAAGTAAATAACAAAGGCTAACAAATGCAGCAAAATCAATCGTTCTGGACTAGCGTCGTGTGCAAATATATATATAAACAGTCCCAGTTTGAAAATAAGGGCAAAGTTGTGCCTTCTACGCTGTAGACGAACATGTCCTTCTTGCATAGGCTCCGCTGGTTGTTGAACAATTGCAGGCTGAGCATGGGCGGCAACTGGTTGTGGTTGAATAACAGGATATGGATACATGACTGGCACTAAATAAGGTAGTCCACTATAGGAAGCAGCAATAATGAATGTTAGTCAATCAAATCAAAATAGCAATCTTAGAATCCTGATGAATTGGCTATCGACTCACTTTATCAACACATAGTGCATGGGATATGCAAATGGCATTTGTATTGGGTAATTCATTACGGCTTGCTGAACTCCATCTTGCGAAACTGCTGCAAACGTTTGACCAAAAGGCAATTGTGTGGGGTCTGGAAAATTGAGAACAGGATTCTGCATTATAGGTACCTCGGCGCCGAGTGACATTCCTTCATAGCTCACGTCAGCAGCGGGCTGACTAGTCTCCGAACCGGCAAGTTCCCCGTTCGCAGTACTGTCAGATTGCTGGCATCGGCGTCTCGTTGAAGACTGCTCTTGATATAAGCCAGTTGATACCGTTGCCCGACTTACTTTAAGGTTTACTGCACTTGGTTTTACAACTAAATGAAAAATCTGATCACTCGCCATCCCGTCTCCCAAGAGATCAATAATACGATCTGAATCATTAAGCAGACGGCCTCTATATATTAACTTTTGATTGCTAACACTAGGTTTCTGAGGGACTCTTTCATAGATGGTTTGCTTTAAGGAGAGAACCGTAGATTCAGGCGTGATGAGTATGGAAAAGTCATCGGCTAGCGAGATGGTAGGAGAGCGGATGAATATTCGGATTTTATCTGAATCGCTATTGTTTGTGTGGGTGTTATTAAATATTTCCGCGTGGACAGACATCAGGATAAGCTATTGAGAAGACTTCTTTCAATGTTTGATGTGAATGTTTGGAAAATACTGATCTATAGCACGAAACAAATACATGGTCGATTTCGATTGGGTAAAAAGGTGATGTCATCAAGTATGGTGATGATCATTTCTAATTCACGCGAATAAGGGTTTTTCTCAATTGGGGCATGTGAACACTTTTGTTCATTATTATATTAATATGGATAAATGTTTTAAATGCTTTGAGTCACAGCTTCATACTTGAAACCATGGCATTAACTTGTAAAGAACAGAAGATCTTTGTTTTCAATTTGTGTACATAATAATAATAATAGATTAAGTAAGTGGAAATAACATAATTATGTTATTTCCACTTAGTCTAGGTTATGTATGACGGGTCAATTACAAAACTCAAGTCATTCGAGTGATGGGTCAATCAGAAAACTCAAGTCATTCGAGTGATGGGTCAATCACAAAACTCAAGTCATTCGAGTGATGGATGGATTATAAAACTCAAGTCATGTTGTATATCTGTTTGACGACCGCGGTTAATTTTGATTATAAGATACCCTCCGATTTAGGTTAAGACGTACTATGAGTTCGTATATCAGCTTAATGTTTCTGATCGATTTCGATTATAAGATACCCTCCGAATTAGGTTAAGACGTACCATGCGCAGTTCTTTTCTATCACCTTTAGCAACCCAAATTCGATAATGTTATTTGTATGCTAGTTTGGTGATCGTGGCTGATTTCTGTTGCAATAAAATAACTGATTTAGGTTAAGACGCTCCCGTATTGTTATCGTGAGTTTGATGGGTCGAATACATTTTATGTGTCATTTGATATCATATGCTGGCTTATCGTTCCCAACCGATTTCCATTGTAAGTAAATTACTGAGATAGGTTATGTAACCACCCGATTTAATGTTTCTAATCTATTTCGAGTATAAGATACTCCCCGATTTAGGTTAAGACGTACCAGGATGCCCCTTCTGCGTTTTCTATTATAACCCAAATTCGATAACATTATTTGTATGCTGGCTTGGTGTTTGTGACCGATTTCCATCGCTGGTCATATGGGCAAAAAATATATCTGACGATACATCCAATCATATATCGTCATTTATGGCCCGATTTGTGCATTATTAGTAGTAACAGAATTCTTGATTGCAGGTTTGACAATAGATATTGCTTCATTTAATTCATTTTCGAGATCGGAATCAGACTCAGAATTGTAATCTTGCTCTAGCTTTTCTATATAAGTTTTGAAACCTGTTCCAATCTTCTGTATTAAGAGTTTATTGATAGCTTTGGTAGCATGAGTAGCATGAATATTACAGTCTACTTCCTCAATCTTTTGCATCATAATTTTATCGATAGCTTGACTTAGCTTGCTTTTGCGATCTTGCATTGTTGTCATTTTATATATCGCATAGAATTTTTAATGAAAAAATTAATGCAATCAGGACATGCTATATGTATGCTAGATGCTATCATGTATATGCTATCGATAATGCTATCGGGTATATGCTATCGGGTATGCTATCAAAAAATGCTATCAGTACGTTATATAAATACTATCGAAAAGCGTTATCCAGTTATGCTATCAAAATGTTATCGCTTATGTTTGCTATCCTAGAATGCGTTTAAAATGGATCTGCTCGCGTCCTAATAAAAAATCCGTCCTGGTTTCGTCCTAGTAAAAGAAAAGTTAACTGGGACGGGTTCGGTATGGAAGAAAGATTTAAAATCCTTTTTTATCTTGTTCTTTTATATTTATTATATATCCGTCCTAGTTGTCCTAGTAAAAAAGTAATAATCTAGGAAAATAAAATTTATCTACCCATGATACATTTATACTATACATATGATATATATACGTTATATACATATGATATATAACCATATAATAAATACTATGTATATCTATAGATAAAAAAAGAAAAAAAAAGTAAGAAGATCGAGATTTTACTAGGACAACTAGGACAACTGGGACGGGTAGTCTAAAACTCTTTCATTCGGCTTGAAATTACCAGCAGGTATATTTTTTTCCGTCCTAAACCACGTCCTAGAAAAAAATCCGTCTTAGTTGGAACTTTGAAAAATATAGAAATCTCGCACACCACTATGTATTTTTTTCCACCCTCCCGATACAGTTTTGCGCCATCTTCTCCAGCTTTTTCTGATGCCTATACTCTCTTCTACGATGTTTCTGCGCATGAGTATCACAATAACCATAACCAGAATTAGTAAACTTAACACAACCATATTCTTTGCAAGGATAACGAATAGGTGAATCCCTGTGAACTTTGCACCCATTGGGATGATAACATGGCCGATTACAGACTTCACCGGTTCTAAGTATATAGGGACAACGATAAAATGCCATACTTTTTGATGTTTATCTCGATTGAGTATATAATATGTGCCGATCAATATTCTTTAGAATTTAATTTTCATTTTGAACTTTTTAATTCTGAATAATATACTTTCAGAAAAAATATGAGTACCCAAAGTGAACGTAACATGCCTATTGTACCCGCATCATCCGATGTGCCAACTGTGGATAACCAAAATTTCGAGCCGGAGATAGAGGAAGAAAACGAGCCGGGATATGAGAATGAAGGGAACGGGGCCTTCTACCACCGGGGGTTTAAGGCCTCAAGTGTGGCTGAATATAGGTATAAAATTTGGGATGATAGCGTAAGGCCAAGACAATTTCTCGGCACAGATACTGAAGATGGAATAGAAGCTATATTCACAGACCGCCAAGGTCATTCATTACACGAATTCATTGATGGTGATGACCCACTTCGTCCATTCATAGATTTTGATTTATCCCAAGAAACGCTAAATAGTATCGAACCAAAACTTACACGCAAACAAGTTTATTATACTCTAATCGGGGCTTTCAGAAAAGTGTGTATTGAGATTTATAAAGACTGGGATATTAAAACCTTAACTGTTGCTAGTAGTAGTGACCAGAAAAAAATGTCGTACCATATCTCAACTTTTGGACTTCGGCTTCAAAATATCACTAAAGTTGCAGTTTTCACTGAACTTGTTCGTAAAAAGCTTCCTATACCTTTACAACATAAAGATATTGTTGATAATATTGCAAATAAAAGGTCATTTTCCTTGCGAATGCTTGGAACCCCAAAGATTATCAAAGACACTGGCAAGCATGTTCGTCCAAAGAGAGCTGTTATGCCCGAAAATGGTACTATCTTTGATTTTATGCTTCGCCCACCTAACGGCGAGGCGCCAGAGATAGATAGTCCTATTTTGGATATTCTGAAAGAAAAAACATCAATCAAAGATGGGCAAATGCCAGCAAAAAATAAAATCGATGCTGGGACAATCGGATCTGAAGTAGAATATATAAAAAAATTACTTGATGAGTATAAAATTGAAGGTTTTGAAGTGTTATATCCTTCACCGACACTCCCGAACATATTCCCCCTAAATCGCATAGCAGAATCTTAATGCCCACTCTGTAATCGGGAGCACACTAGTGATAATGCATATGTAACCCGAAATAAGAAAACTCATCAATATTATTGTCATCGAGCGGATCAAGAAACGCAAACAGGCCTAAGAAAACCCTCATTAAAACTTACTTTAAATGTATCGGTCTCGGAACGGGAAAACAGTCTTCCACCCCCAGAAAAAATAGAGCGACCCAGAATCTCAGACCCAAATGACCACTTTGTATGGGGTGATTTAATTCGTATGTGTACTTCTAAGAAAATTTTACTCGGAATGAAGTATATAATGCAATCCAGGCTACACTTGCTTGTGTGGTAAAAGATAAACGAACATGGATTCTTAAACACAGAAAACCGGATGGTAGATTATACTTTGGTATGGCACCTACTCTAGATTTCGGTAAAATAACTATTAATATAGTAGAACTCGGAGGAGAACCAATAAAATTAATCTCTTTGATAGATCGTATATATGACAGCAAGGCAATTATTTATGATGATATCGATTTCTTACCATATCCATCTAATACCGAACAACCAAAAAACGAATTCTTCAATCTTTTCTTAGGATTCAAGGCTAAACCGGCATCTCGAATTAATTACGATCTTGTAAACCCAATAATCTGGCACATAGAAAATATCTGGTGCGACGGGAATAAGGTTCTTTCTACATATGTTCTCAAATGGTTAGCATTTTTGGTTCAGTATCCAGCAAAAATCCCTGGAACAGTTCTTGTTTTACGTTCTCCTCCACGATGTGGAAAAAATATTATTACTGATTTCATTCGAAAAAGCTTATTCGGTCCGGAGCTTGTATATTCAACATCCGATTTAGGTAAAATTTTGGGAAAATTCAACAGTAGTATTCAAGGACGTAAACTTATAATTATGAATGAAGCAGGAATGTTAAGTGGAGAATGGCATAAGTCAAATGATCACTTAAAATCTCTAATTACAGAAGATTACGTCTCAATTGAGCGTAAAGGTCTCGAAAATCAAGATTGTGGTCATTTCCCCGGATTCATAGTGTTAAGTAATCATGACGCCCCAATTCGAGTGGAACAAGGAGATGGTCGTATTGTATGTTTAGATGTTTCACCTCGATGTAAAGGTAATTTTACATATTTCGATCAATTGGGAAAAATTCTTGAGCATCCTGACACACCTGGATCTTTTATGGAGTACTTACTTAACCAAGATCTTTCAAATTGGAAGCCGGAAAAAAATATGCCTACTACTAAGATGAAAACAGAGACAATGCGAGAACATCTCCCAAATCCCACTCGATTTATAATTGATTATATTTCGGTATGGTCAAAAGATCAGATTGAAAAACCAGGTTGTGCTATGTTATATCAGGAGTATCGTACATGGTGTGAAGCTAATGGTGAAAAGCCATTCAGTAATAATAATTTTGGGAAAAAAATCCCACAAGTTAACATTGAACGAAAACGTGCTGGCGGTGGAAAAAGAGAATGGCAGTATATCCTCGATCGATCCAAAATCGTGGCTAAGTTACGTGAATCGATAGGTGATATCGAAGAATTTTCTGACGTACCTCAAGCTGAGACATCTACCAATGCTTCTACAGATATCCCTGTATTAGATATACCTGAAGTCTGCGAAGCAGGACACTTCGTGTCTAAAACTCCTGAACCGAAGAAAAATATAGCCGAGTCATCGATCACCAATCGAATCGAAAAAGGTAAGGAAATAGTATCCGCTCCACCCACTACTAACACGACCCAAGACCTCTTCGATTATATAACAGGTCAATCGGAATCTCCAGTTGCTTCGTCATCCAAGACTACTAATATATCCATGGCTCCAGAGATCAAACATGTAGAACCAATAGACGATAAACCTGTTGTCATAGACAATGAGCTCCGCTCTAAATCTCTGGAAATTATAGAGGAATTAGTGAGTGATGAAGCTGGATCTGTAAATAATGAGCCCGAGATATCCCTCGACTTACCTGTGAATGACGAACTAAAATCCGGCAATGAAGAATCCAATATCCAACTGAAAACATATCCGCCTGGATATATACTCCGAGCAGAAAGGGAAAAACGTCTCAGGCAATGGGCGGTCGATCATGGTGAAGATCCAGATAAGTTCGTTACTATTACTGAAAAAGATAGGAATTTAGCATATACATACCATGATAGATTATGTTCGGACGCAGACATGATCCAATTCGCAAAAGATACCGATGATGACCCAAATACATTGATGGACATGTCTAGGCGAGAACGATTAATAAGTGAGGAAATTATGCTCCGATTGTATGAAGACGATGGCAACCCCCGAGCAAGGAGTTATGATGATGAGGAATGGATAGAAAAAATAGCGATACTCCAGGAAAATGGGTATCTTTGGTAAGACATCTATGTATAATAAGGAGCAAATAGGTAGAAACATCCAATGGAGGGGGCTTTTTTGCTCTTCAAACCAGCTAATATAAAATTTTCCAATAAAAATATTATATAAACTATGTGTTCTTTATGCGCTATATATATATATATATATAGATACTATAAACAAAATGAATGATCAAGAATTGGAAACTCCAGAAAAAGTACTTAACCTATTAACTGACCGGATGATAAATCTGAATGGACCAACGTTCCGTAAATTAATCCGCAATGGATATAGATATGTTAGTGATTTATCGAATTACTCAGAAATATCTGAACATATCGATTATGGTTGTTCCGATCACATAGCCTTCTTATTTAATATATGGAAGCCGGCAGTAATACCGCCACCCGAAATATTACAAAACAGACCGGACATATATCGCAAATATCTTATAACTGTTGAATCGTGCCAGAATTGGATAGGTGTACTAAAAAATAAAATATAAAACTATAAACTTGTACGCATTATAGCCTGGATCGCAACTCCAGAGCTATATTTTTTTTCGTTATATCCTATGCATTAATAAAATTCAAATCGACGTTTAGGTTATCTCATATGTAACTATAAACTCTCTTTTTCTGAGCATAGGAGGAAAAAGCATAATTAATTTTGATTTGAAAAAATATTTTTTATAGTGTATATAACCTAAAGAATTATTCATAAACTACTTGACCTATTATAACATTCAAACATGTCAGCTATCGCAACTAAAATCGTAGAAAACTACAATCTCAGCCCCAAGATGAGTGTGACCGATCTCAGTCGATACACCTCAGAGTTTCTCGAGAATCTTACAGATGATAGAAAAAGTAATCAGGCACGAAGGCGTCTTCGGGAAGGATTCAAATTTAGCAATGAGCAGGTAGGTGTATTGATACCTAATCAGAGAGGTGGGAAAAGTAAAGCTATAAATATTATCGAGGGTAGTTGCAAAATAGCTATAGTTTCACCTCCCAAAGATTTAGAAGAAGAAATTATCAGAGAGATAACAAAACGAATCTTGCAAAATAGATATGGGTTTAGCAAGGATCAAGTGGATGCCTTATTCACAATCCAGACAAATGGACAATGTGGTAGTATTTCCGGTAAAACCTTAAATTTGTGCCTTAGCACTAGCTCCGCTATTACGATTTCCAACAAACCCCAAAAAAAGAATAGAGGGGAGACAATTGGAGAGATGGCGCATCGGCTTTTATGGGATAAGCTTAGTATTCGGGATATAAGAGCTGAAGCTCATGCCTTAGCCCTATCAGCAAAAAATGCCAATGCTGGTTCATCACGTCTTTCCCGGCTTCGAAGAGAATTAAAAAGCCTTGGTGCTTTACCCACGATAGTCGAGGCCACGAAATTTCCAGATTTTACAACAAAATCCAGAGGGGCAATCAGAAAAAGGCTGAAGCTAAACGTATCAATTATCCAGATCATTTTACTTTAGAATCAATCAAAGAAAGGTTAGATGCGTATGATTAAAAACTCCACCCGATTTTCAAGCTCTTGCTGATGTTAAAGCCAATAAAAAATTGTGATGCGAGGTTGAGGAAAAGAAGATTGAATTACAAGGGGCAGAAAATATTTGAAATCACGTTTTACTCATTAGAAAGATTTTAATGGTGTATCCCAACCCAATCAAATTGCAAGTGGGTCAACTACTGCCTTAGTAAAATCAAAAACCACGAAATCTCGATTCCACAAATGCTTATCAATAATCTTAGATGCTTTTTTTTGGATCATCCGTAGTTCACCCCGCCAAAAATAGATTCCACATGCCCGAATAGATTTTCACATATCACGCATTATCAATCTTAATTTCAGGATCGTCATATATACGGATTAACGGATTATCATCTCCGCTTCCCACGCTTATTTTTTTTCATAATCGAGTATTTATCCGCCGCTTTTACCGTGATCTGCATGTTGTACAGAATAATTTGAATAACCTTAAAAAATCCGGCTATGAAAC